TCACTGTGCCACTTCAAAATGATTTCATTTGTTCTCACAATACCATGTTAATTTCGGGAAATCACGAGCATTAGAGATTCCCGTAGAATTTTATAACTTTTGAATTCAAATTTTAGGACTCAACATCATGAAGAAACAAATGTGCCGTTGGTGATGATTTGAAAAATGCAGAACCGGTTCAGATTAAGTGGTTTTCTGAAGATGAGGACCGGTTTGGTTTTGTTACAAATAGATCGACACATTTTAACCGTTAAGAAAAACGCGTGTTCTCAAACGCATGTATACATTTTAAATACTTTCTCACCCATTTCATTTCCTCACTTCTTCACAAAAAGTTTATTTTCTCCCAAATTTTTCTGTTTGTTTTCTTTTTGAAGCAACCTACAAGCTTGATTCCTCGACCTGATTAAATCGGCTGGATGTTTCAATCGTCGTCAAGGTGAGGGTTTCTAAATCTCATGTAGTGACCGCGATTTCTTTAGGGTTTCCAATTTGCGTAACCGTTAATAGATTAATTTTTGCAGTGATCATTGGTCAGGGGTTGGATGCTTCTTTCACATCGTCAAGGTAAATTCTCTGTTTGATGCTTGGGTTTTCAATTACTTTGGCGATTTTGAGAGTTTTCGTTCTCTGATTATGCTTGGGTTTCCAAATTTTGTCAGTGATTTTCAAGTTTTCGTTCTTTGATTTTGCTTGGGTTTCCCGTTTCTAGTTAATTTAAGATTCCAATTTCGTTGCTTTTGTTCTTGTTCTGCAATCTTTTGCGGCATCGTTTAGGATCTTTTATGACATGTATGTGAATAAGATCCGTATTTTTGTTAGATTTCAGGAATCTCAAATTGTTTCATCACCTCTATGTTTTCTTCTTAATTTCAGGAACCTCGCCAAAATCATGATGATAGTATCGCCTGGATCTTTCTTCTGCTGCTGGAGTGATTGCCTTTCAAAGTTGAACACCCTTTGATCAGCCCTCCTAAGGTAAGATTTTTTCTTTTATCTAAGCAATTAACAAACCTACCAAAACAAGCACTAGTCCAATAGTGTTCTGGTTTTGTGTTTCCCGTTTAAACCCCCAAATGAGATCAAAGACAAGCACTAATCTAATAGTGTTGTGTCAAATTCTCGTTTGGGAACATTGTCCCGAGTCGGTTTATATATGGATTGGTAGTGCATGATGTTGGGAGATGGAAACTTAAAACCCCAAATAAGATCATTGACAAGCACTAATCTAATAGTGTTGTGTCAAATTCTTGTTTGGAAACATTGTCCCGTTGCCTCAAGTCGGTTATATATGGATTGGTAGTGCATGATGTTGGGGGATGGAAAATCAAAAGGATCTGTTTTCGGTTTGGTTAGATGGAACAGAGGATAATGAGGGATTAATAAAGTCTTTAAGGCAAAGACTACAAACTGAAAACAGATTCCTTAACCCAATGGGTCGAGTTTACATGATGGATGGATAAATTGACCAACGGCTTAGATAAAAGTCTTTGACAAAGACTATGAGTTGGGTTTTTGACTTGTGGGATGGAATGTAAAACAACCAACGATTCAAAGAGTCTAATGACATAGACTATGACCTGAGAATCTGTCCCGGGAACCACAAGGCTCCAAAAAGCAGAGAAAGGCTATGAGTTGGATGGATCTAACTGCCAATGGCTGAAAAAGTCTTAAGACAACAGAAAGAAAGACTATGAGTTGGATGGATCTAACGACCAACAGATTTGAGAAAGTCATAAGACAACAGAAAGAAAGACAATGAGTTGGATGGATCTAACGACCAACAAGTTTAAGAAAGTCTCAAGACAACAGAAAGAAAGACTATGAACATGAACCAAGACAATAGAAAGAAAGACTATGAACATGAACTATATGTTCGGTTACCCAAGGCTTAATAGTATACAAAGACTATGAGTTGGATGGATCTAATGATCAATAGCTGAAAAAGTCTTAAAACAAAGACTATCATTTGGATGGATATAACGACCAAATGTTGAATGTAACGATCAGTCTTAAGACAGAGACTGGATAAGTTGAGACTTGTTGGGTGGTAAAAAACAACTAACGATTTGTTGAATGTAAAAAGAACAGAGACCAAAGGATGTATGGGTTGTGGTAGTGCATGTTTAAGGAAGTCTTTATTGACAAAGTGCTTAGTTACCATCCAACACGGTTTAAGAAGTTTTAAGAGAAAGACAAAGTTTGTTGATATATTGGTGGATGGTAAGAATGACCAATTGTGTGAAATCAGTCTCAAGACAGAGGCTGATGATTAAGTTGATGGTAAAAAACAACTAACGATGATGCAAAGATTAAGAAGAAAAGACCAGAGACAAAAAAACTTAAAGAAGAAACTATGAGGCAAAGATTCTCGGTTATATATGGATTGGTAGTGCATGATGTTGGGTGATGGAAAATTTAAAGTCTTTATTGACAAAGACGATGGATCTGTTTCGTTTTCTTGGGATGGAACAGACGATAATGAGAGGATTAAGAAAGTCGTAAGGCAAAGACTACAAAATGAAAACAGATTCCTAAACCCACGGCTTAAAAAAGTGTTCTCACAGAGACAATGGGTCGAGTTTACATGATGAATGGCCAAATTGACCAGCGATTATGAGTTGAGGGACGGGAAAAAAGAAAGACTAATGGCTTAAAAGAAAACTTGTGGGATGGAATGTAAAACAACCAACGATTTAAAGAGTCTAATGACTATGAGCTGAGAAACTATTATGTTCCGGGAACCACAAGGCTCAAAAGTAAGTATCGGTTTTTGACTTACTGGGAAAAAGAAGAACAACAGAAAGAAGTTATAAGACAGATTATGAATCAAAAACTGATTCGTACCATATAAACACAAGGCTTAGAAGTCTATAGACTTGTTCGATGGCTTAGAGAAGCTAAGACAAAGTCACAAAGATTATGACTTAAAAACAGGTTCATTCAACGATTATGAACCAAACAACAGCTTGGAAGTCTACGCAACCGATACTTAAACACTACCTCATGGCATATATGTGAAGCAAAGACTAATTAATTTTGATTTTTTGTTTTCAGGTATGTGCTTCAGAAGGTGTTCAAGTTGTTAGAGACTCTTGAAGAGATGCAGCAGACTTCAATGATAGGTATGTGCTTCTCCAAACTTGCTTGTAGTTAGTTGATACAAGTCAGAGAAACATACTAGTTTTGATCACCACTGGACTGATTCTTGAATAAGCTTCCAAATCTTTAGCTGATTTCTATACTTCTGTATCAGACTGAATAAAGACTAATTTGCTTCATATTCATATTCTCAGGGACGCTAATGAGATTTTACTTTTTGTGAATGCTTATTACAAAGCAAGTTTAGTGATTTGATGGATTCTTTTCTTTATTTCAGTTTTAACATTTTAGGTGATAAGTTGTTGGGTTTCAATCGAACTGAGTTTCCTCAAACAGTTTAAATGGTGGCTTGTACTCAGGTAAGGCTGCTACTTTTGTATCTTTGAATGTATTTGTGTCATATAAAATACTGGAATTCAACATAGTCTATGTGTTTTTCCCTTTCCTTCACCACGGAGTCTATAGCTACAAATTAATGATTCATTTTCTGGACTAAGTAATTTTTGGTTCAACTGTTCAAGGACTGTTGATCTTAGTCCGTTCACCGGAAACACTGCAAGTAAATCGTTTTTCTGTTAATACCATTTCCATTTGGCTAAAATTCATTTGGTTTTGGTACATTACATTGTGTGTGCACACTGTCAGTCATCTCTTGATTACAATTTTATTTTATTTTGGTCCTTGAATGCATCATAAGTTCTCTCATTTTATGAAATGGATATATCTTAGAGTCTTTGTAGATAATTAGTTTGAATATAAGTGAGACTCTTGCAGGCTATAGTAGTACTTTCTTTGAATCTTGAATGTATCTATCTCTCTTGACGAGAAAATGTGTATGCATCATAATGTCTCTCAATTAGTTTTGGTGCTTGTATAGTTTGTATGCATCGTAATGTCTCTCAAATTGTGAAATGGATATATCTTGGAGTCTCTGTAGATTATTTTGAATGTAAGTGAGAGCTCTGCAGACTATGGTGGTAGTATCTTTGAATCTTGAATGTATTTCACTCTCTTGACTAGTTAGAAAATATTTTATTATCTCTGTTTTGGTACTTGTATGCATTGTGGGTCTATCATTTTATCAAACTGGATATGTCGTAGTGTTTCTAGTAAATATCTCGTAGTAGGTTGCTTGATCTTTGTTTTTCGTTGCGATCATTCTAAAAATGTGAAAGGACATCCTCGCAAATATACAATCCTACCATTTCTTAAGGTTGATATCGAAATCAAGATACTATAAGTATATGCTTGAATTCCAATTTTGTCATCCTTATTGTAAGAATGTGGCATAGGTTCTCTGATCTTTTCTGCTCTTTAGGTTGACTAAATATACTATTTTCTTCAATGTACCTAGATTTGTTTAGTATTGTATGATTAGTATTTCAATTTTTAAGAAACGAATATTTAGTATTGTATGATTAAAATGGACAATTCAAATTTCCATGAAAATTATGTCGATAAAGAATTGTTTTTTTTTCTATATCTTCATAGCTTTGTGCTAGATTATATAATCTGTCATGTTTATTTTGAGTACACAGTTCTTGAATTTTGGTTGATTGGTCAGGTCCTGTCCAATATTCTATTCTTGTTAGGAGCGATTGTGATATCTGTTTTTTTTTGTGGTACGTTTAGATGATATGATCTTGACTTTTATTTCTTGATTCTTGAAACAGTTAGTATGGTAAATTGATTGAACTTTCTTGATTCTGTTAGAATATAACATACAAACAGTATTCTTTCACTCTCTCTCTCTCTTGGTCTTATTTTCTTTTGGTATGACGCTCCCAATCAAACTCCTCCAATTGAACATTTTCTCAGGAGCTGTTTCATATTACAAAAGCTCTGTTTCAGAACTCTCTATATGTAAAAACGCACAAAGATGTTCGTTTCCGATAATCTTAACCCAGAGCTTCAATCCAGCTACTAGCGTCTTGCTTCCTCACTTTGGTGATCTTCATCAACCTCCTCAACTCCATAACACTAGCCCAATCTCCTTTCTCGCCATGAACTCTACACAGAACATCATAAGCCGCAGGATGCTCTCTCCTAAGCCTCGAGATCCCTTGAGCAGCAACCTCACCGAGCTCCAAACACGAATGCAACCCGCAAGCCCCAAGCAAAGCCCCCCAAATAACAACATCAGGCTCAAAAGGCATTCCCTTTATCAGCCTCTCTGCTTTATCCAACTCCCCAGCTCTCGCTAGCAGATCCACCATACAAGCATAATGCTCCTTCTCTGCAGCTATCCCAAGCCTACCCATCAACATGAACTTCTCTTCCCCTTCTTCCACCAGCCCTGCGTGAGCACAAGCCGATAACAAGTTAACAAAAGTCACCTGATCAGGCTTGTAACCGCACTCCATCATCTTCTCGAACTCCTCTAAAGCTTCCGCTCCTAATCCATGTCTTGCAAAGCCTCCAATCATCGAGTTCCAAGAAGCCGGATTCTTCACCGGCATCAGTTCAAACACAAGTGAAGCAGCGGTGATATCACCTGACTTGGCGTACATATCTACCAGCGATGTCGACAAGACCACGTCACAAGCCATCCCTCGCTTTGTGATCATCGAGTGCGCTTGCTTCCCCACAAGAACCGACGAAGAAGCCGCACACGCTTTCAAAACTGTGGAGAATGTGTAGTGACTTGGCCTCCAAGATCCAACCATTTCCCTGAAAAGCAACAACGCTACTTCAAACTCTCTCCCATTCACGTACCCATTGATCATCACAGTCCAAGAAAAAACGTTCCTTTGACCCATCTGGTTGAAAAAGTCTCTAGCTTTATCCATCTCCATGTTGTCAATGTACCCAATCAACATCGTGTGACAAGTGATGATGTTCCTCATCGGCATTTCACCGAATGCTCTCTCACCATCTCCCACAAAACCTATTCTCATGTAACCCATAATCAACACATTCCACGAGACCACATCTTTTAACGAAATCTCCTCAAACACTCTCTCTAACCCCCTGAGATCCCTTAAACTTGTGTAGCCTCTTAGCAGCGAAGACCCAGTGTAAGCGCTTAAGCTAAGCCCTAATCGAACAGCAAGCGTGTGGATTTGCAAAACGTAAACTTTAAACGCAGATCCCGACACCGTATCGATTACCGCAGGGAGAGTAAGCTCATCTGGATTCAACCCAGATCTCCGCATCTCTATGAAAAGCCTGAGGACAGTCTCTGGATCTCTGGTTTTCTTCAAACCCATGAGAATGGTGTTCCAAGAAACCAAATCTCTCACCGGCATTTGATCGAACACTTGGCGGGCTTCAGTCATGAGACCACGCTGAACATAAGCCGTGATCATCATGTTCCATGTTGGATTGTCCAGCGATGTCTTGTTCTGGTTGAAAATCCTACGCGCTTCCACCAAACCGTCGTCTTCCCGCCGCAAGTGATCGCTGATCAAACGGTTGAGAGTAACCGTTGGTATCGTGAAAATCCGGCGCGAAAAATGTCCTCGTAGAAGAGTTGCACTTTTCTCTAACATGCGCATTATCCAAACGCCTCTGTTATTATTTTGCGCGGACCTTCTCTAGATAAACACGTGCAAACTCATCTCACTCATCTTGTAGTATCTGTATTTGGTTGTGATTATAGGTTTCTGGTAGGAACTTATGATGATAATTAATAACCACTTAAAAAAAAAAGTTAATACTATATCCTATATATAGACGTTACATTAAATGAACCAATTTACTCAAATATGTAAAAACCAAAGAAGCAAATTCAGGCAAGAAGACACAATAATGTATTGTCTTAGAGATCAAATACTAAAACTATTACACTCCAGTCTAATAAATTGAAACTCAATCATTTGACCTCTGTTCCATTATAATGCTCTTTTGTTTTCAAAAAACCTCAAAACAGTGTATGTGCTGTGTCTGGGTCACTATTATATCTATGTACACATTCGTGAAAGTGTGGTATTAATTAGGGATTCATATGTAAATATCATATAATACCATGCATAATGTGAATATTCCTTATTGGTAGAGATGTATCTAGGGCTGCGTAGGAGATGTATATATATTCGACTAAGATCAATGAGAAGGACAAGACGTTCAATTCTATCTTTGACATGTGGGATCAAATCAATTAATGAAGAGTCATACACATTTTCTGAGTATTCAAGTCATGAACATAATCCCTTACTTGTGGGATGTAACTTTTTTCAATATTCATCATTGTAATGTAATTGTTTTCAGTAGTCGAATTTCTTACAGCACGCTAATATCTCAGAGAGGGTCTGTTCTAATACATCAACAGAATGCGAATCTTGGACCCTTTTTGCTCATTTTGTTGATGTGCATGCAGTATGCAGATACCACTTGAGCACTTTCTATAAATGACTCAAGCATGAATATGCTTTCAAATCCCAACAATGAACATTTTAAGTAGAGAATCAAGTAGAGAATATGCATTTGTGAATTCAGAGTCACTGTGCCACTTAAAATTATTTCGTTTTTCTCACAATACCATGAGAATTTCGGGAAATCACGAGCATGAGAGATACCCATAGAATCCTCTTTTACTATTTTAAACTGTAATAATGAATAATCTTTTTGTTCGTGCAAGTTTCCCAAAGCTTTACAACTCAGCAACTGCTCAATTACAATCTCACTTGTGTATATATAAAGCTTATGGTGAAATGTTATGAATGTGATACTGGTAAAAGGCAAATCTGGTTTCTATATCAAGCTTTTAATATTTGGTCATTCATTATAGAAAGTGGAACCATTAATGAAGTGGTATATATATATATATATATATATATATATATATACATTTATTTTCGTTCTTGTTTCTTCAGCGAAACGTATGGTAGCAGTTGGTTAAAGAAATTGCGTTAGGCATTAGCCTCAATTAGAATCGACCCGAGATATGGTGATTCACTGATATGTCCTGCAGGTTCATATACACAAAAGATGCCAGCTAAGTCTTGTAGGTGAATGTGATATTTCACAATTATAGCAAACAAGTTGTGGAAACCGGAAAATTTGGTATTGTGTGGAAGTAAGTTCATTAGCTAAAAATGTAAACTTTAAACTGCGTAGAATCTTTACTTCACTTTTTGGCGTTATGATGTTATCGCCTTTTCTAGTGAAGGCAAATTGCTGAAATATAGCCCGGACATAAAGGTTCGTTATGTCTCGAGTATTGTCTGCTTTGGACCGGTTCTTGATTTAGTTCGTTATGTCTCAACTCAAGCCAACAGTGAATTTCAAAATATTCTATTTAACATTTTGTGTCTCAATATTAGGAAAATCAGTTGTTTGACTTAGTGATACCGTGGGTTTCGTTGCTGTGTTATTTTTCATGCACACATCCGTTTCCACGAACGCTTGCACTCAAACATGCATTGCATTCGAAGTGTTGTGTAAATAAGTTTTAGCATGATAAAGATATAATTAGTTTCTGACTACCTAATATATTGAGGGTTGTTTTCGTTAATTCCACAAGATATGAAAATCATTCCCATACTTATTATTTTTATCCTTTGTCAACATGTGGTTGGATATGTTGAAAAATAAACGTTGTTGAAGATTACCCATAAAAGATATGTCTATTTATTAGTTAACTAGATTGGTCCCACATATATAGGTAGGTATGTAATTTTAATATTTTATATATGTACTTTGGATTCTCTTATTTATTTATAATTATTATTTAATTAGTTGTTTGGCAACTATTTCATTTGTTTTTTTAATTAGTTATCTATTTTTCACCATATGTTTTAAAATAAATTTATATGTTTTTTACTCGCCTTTTTATTTTTTATTTGAAGATAACATTTTACACATGTCAGTACTAAATTAACGATGACAAGTGTATATATAATAATCTGAAATGAAAACCTAATTAAATAAGAATTTGAATTTGAACTACAGTAATTGGATTATATGATGATAATATATAAGCTAATAGAAACTATCAGTGGAGGATCTAGGATTACATTTTACCGGGGTCAGTATTTTTTTTTTGAATAAATTGTTAATATCAAAATACTATAAATAAAGCGATTAAAAAACAATGTATGGTTTACAAGTTTCAAATATCTCAAAATACTTATAAATTTATTTTTGCTTTACTAAAAATAACTATATCATTATTAAACCATATGAAAATTTTAAACCAAAGTTTGAAAAAATAAAATAATATACATGAATTTCTCATGTAAAAATTCAATGTAAATGCAAATTTTAATTAAATAACACGTAGTTGTGATGAAATTTAACATTTAATAAGAGATTATACAATAAATATTTTATAGTCAAAGATAGAAATTAGTAATTTATGTTTTCTTTTTCTCCCTAAAGAATAAATAAAGGATGAAATTGTATTTAGAAACAATGAGCAAAAATGGAAATGGGTCAATCATAAATTTTTTAGGGGGTCACTTAATGAAATTTGTGGTAATTAAGAAAGAAATTAGTAATTTAGTGGGGTCACTTAATGAAATTTGTGGCAATTAAGACAGTCAGCTGACCTCCTAACTGTCTAAGTAGATCCGCCCTGGAAACTATATCAAATAATGAATCATCAAAATTTTCACACTGACAGCAAATTGTCAAATGAGTTATAGAAACATAACCCAATAATACTTGCTAGTTAATCAAGACATTCATTAAATTGTGGATAATTACATCCGATAAATCTCTAGAAAGTAGGGATAAAATTGCCGACCAAAGAAATTAAAATTTTCATTTGAATAAAAACAGGAGATTAAAGATATAAAAAATTCACCCCGATGTTTATCTTTCTAAATATAGTCAAGAGTAAAAAACTCATTCAGATTAACATTATCTAAAAGTTATCTATTTCTTTTTTTTTGATAAATAAAAGTTATCTATTTTCTGTTATCTTTCTCCTCAATGTTTGCCTATATAAACATTACAACAAACTATACATTTTTTCACTCATCAAACTCTCTTCCAGAATCTTTGGATCAATGGGTTTCTCAAATATTTTGTGTGTGTTGTTATTGCTCGTGCTAATCAGTTTAAGTAGTCATACTATCAAAGGAATTGACGCTTTTCATCATGTTTACGAACAACTGCAATCTCGATCAGTCGAGTCAGTGAATCATCTTCACAGATCTGCTTTTCACTTCCAACCTCCAATGCACTGGATTAATGGTACACTGATCTCTCTTTTTCTCTCTGTACGTCAAATATAATTTAGTTAGAAATGTTTGTTTCCTTAGCGTTTAATGATCTAAGATTTTGATGTTTATGTTTTAAATTTCTGTTAGTTTTTGTTCTGATATGAAAGTTGATTTCCACTTCGACATTATAAGAAGAAACGATAGAACTGGCTTCTCGATCTAGACCAAAAAAAAAGGAAGAAAACAAAACTTGATTCTTCTCCGATCCGATTATTAAGATGATCAGTTTTTGAATGGAGGTTGTAGAGATTTAAACGGTTAAACCCTGTTAGGTATATGCATATGTCTGCACGTGAAATAAATAAAACAAATTTATTTTTTACAGCATATATAACGTGAGAATAGTTATGCTTTTTTTGTGTGTGTAAAAAACTATTTACTTGTGATTGTGGCCATGATATGTTTTTTGCCTTCAAGTTGTTCTAATAAAGACTTTCATGTGATTGTTTTGTATATCTCAAAACCTAATTCTAAAAATGTTGATGAGGTCATCGTAAACTAATCGCGTTTTCCTTTGTTTTCGTGTATTTTCATTCGTGGCATTCTCGACAATCTCAATAGATCCAAATGGTGAGTTTAACATAAAACACTTTTTGCAATTTCTCAATATTTTGTTGTTAATTCATACAATATGATCTAATTTGGGGATTTTGGATAAAACAGGTCCAATATACTACAAAGGTTTTTACCATCTCTTCTACCAATACAACACCAAAAGTGCGGTTTGGGGTAATATTGTGTGGGCTCATTCGGTTTCCAGAGACTTGGTTAATTGGAAGGCTCTTGAACATGCAATTTATCCCTCCAAATGGTTCGACATCAAAGGCACATGGTCCGGTTCAATAACAATCGTACCGGGAAAAGGACCGGTTATCTTGTATACCGGTATCAACCAAAACGAAACACAGTTGCAAAACTACGCAATCCCAGCGGATCCATCAGACCCATATCTAAGGAAATGGATTAAACCGGATGATAACCCGATTGTCACGCCAGATTATACCATGAACGGTTCAGCATTCCGCGACCCGACCACGGCCTGGTTCTCCAAAGACGGACACTGGCGAACCCTCGTGGGGTCAAAAAGAAAGGATAGAGGAATCGCTTATATCTACAGGAGCCGAGACTTCAAGAACTGGGTCAAAGCTAAGCACCCGGTTCACTCTAAAGCGTCAACCGGTATGTGGGAGTGTCCTGATTTTTTCCCGGTTTCCTTAACCGATTTTCAAAACGGTTTGGACTTGGATAGCATCGGTCCAAACACCAAGCATGTCTTGAAGGTTAGCTTGGACCTAACCCGGTACGAGTATTACACGCTTGGCAAATACGATCATAAGAAGGACCGGTACGTACCGGACGGTAATTCACCCGACGGTTGGGACGGTTTAAGATTCGATTACGGTAATTTCTACGCTTCCAAAACGTTCTTTGACTACAAAAAGAACAGACGAATCTTGTGGGGTTGGGCCAATGAATCTGACACCGTTGAAGATGACATGTCCAAGGGTTGGGCTGGTGTTCAGGTTAATCTATACAAATCTTAACTAAAACCATAATTTAATGAATATTTTCATCAGTTTCTTAACATAATTATTTAATTACAGGTAATTCCAAGAACGGTGATTCTTGACACAAACAAGAAGCAATTAGTGTTTTGGCCTGTTGAAGAGATAGAGTCATTAAGAGGTAACTACATCCGAATGAACAACCTTAACATCAAGCCAGGTCAACGGCTAGAAGTCAAAGGAATCACTCCTGCTCAGGCAGACGTGGAAGTGACGTTCAACGTTGGAAGTCTAGAGAAAGCTGAGAGATTCGACCCGAGCTTCACGTTCAAGCCGTTGGATTTGTGTAAAATAAAAGGCTCGAACGTGACCGGTGGTGTCGGACCATTTGGTCTGATCGCATTAGCGACTCCTGATATGGAAGAGTACACTCCTGTCTTCTTTAGAGTCTTCAAAGACACTTCCACTAATAAGCCTAAGGTTCTCATGTGCTCCGATGCTAGACCGTACGTTCTCTTTCTCTCTTTATCTCTATATATGGTTTAGTTAAACTATATATATGGCTTTCGTTTTAATTAATGAAACATTCATTTCGTGATATAGTTCGTCGTTAAAGCAAGACAGGGGTCCACTCCCAAAAGATAAGATGTATAAACCACCGTTTGCTGGTTTTGTGGATGTTGATCTATCTGGTGGAAGGATCTCTTTAAGGAGTTTGGTACGTATTATAAGAGTTTTGATATATTTTTTTGCTTGTTTCTGTATATGTAGTGTGACACGTAAGATGTGATTTATTTTTTTACAGATTGATCACTCGGTAATAGAGAGCTTTGGAGCTTTAGGGAAGACAGTAATAACGTCAAGAGTGTATCCGGTGAAAGCAGTAAAAGGGAATGCACATTTGTATGTGTTTAACAATGGAACACAAAATGTGAATGTAGAGAGTCTTAATGCTTGGAGCATGGCGCGTCCTTTGCTGATGAACAATGGTGCTCTTTGAATCTAGCTTATATAAATTTAGCATTTCGTCCCTCTCCTTTCTTTCTTTCTAATCTTCTTTAGTTACTGAAAGATATTGAGACATTAGAAAAGAGAAACTTCTGGGTTTTTCTGTTTTTATCCAAATGATATATGCGTCTCCATATTATATGGACTCTTTGTACCTCTATGTCACTAATCCACTCAATAAAATAATAAATTTAGATAGCCAACAATTTAACGTTAACTATGTCAATCATTAGTCATTAGACTCATTACATACGAGAAAAATATATTTTTTCTGTAAATCATTTATTATTCTGAAACTCGCTCTATTTCACTGTGCGTTGATTACTTCACATTATTGCTTGTAACGCTACATATTAATGACTTAATGTCATTTTCTTTAAACGATATGAACTTGAATTATAAAATTCAGATGACACAACTACAATATTAACGGAACAATAGCACAAATTTTGGAACTTTTTTTGTAAAGCAAACATAAGATGAGAAATACTAAATTATCTTTCAACATTAAAATTCAGTGAAACAAATTTGTGTCAAGAAACTAAACATACGTCTTTCAAGGGAAACACAAAAATATAACATAAAATGATAGTGGTGAAAAAACAGATCACTTGATCTTCTTCTTAGGCCTCAACTGCAAAAGAAATCAGAAACCACAAGTTAACATTTTAACCTCGCAAAGTTTGTAAAAAAAAATTAAAGCACACAAATCCAAAAGACAAGAAACCAAACCTGGTTGCTGTGGCCACACTTCTTCTTCCTGCAGTTCACAGCCCTTGGGTGCAGACGAGCATAGCACCTATAATCAAGAGATAACTCAATATCAGACACAAGACTCGTATCACATTCCACTTTGTCGATAGATAATAGAATCAGGGTTTACAATAAATGTAAGTAGCATAGAGACCACTTCGTGTGTTCATGATCTTCTTAATATGCATAAAGAACATCAACTGATATGAGGCCGTTTCAACACAAAATGATCAATGCTTATTGAAAATGACATGATCATATAAATTGTCGCAGTTAAGTGATCTAAGGCTAATAGTCAATTCACAATGCTAAATAAACATTCATAGAGCAGAAGAAAAGGAGCTTACTTGCGGCAAATCATCTTGTCTTGATTGTACTTACGAGCAAGCATCATCAATGAAGGCTCAATGATTCCTCCCCTAAGCCTCAGAACAAGATGCAAAGTCGATTCTGTTTACAACAAACCAAAAAAACTGAGAACTGAATCAACATTCAATCATAACTAAATGACAAAATTCATTTCAGAGAGAATCAAACGAGCACAATACAATCAAAATGTAAAGTTTTGACCTTTCTGGATGTTGTAGTCGGCCAAGGTGCGACCATCTTCAAGCTGTTTTCCGGCGAAGATCAACCTCTGCTGGTCCGGAGGGATTCCTGAAACAGAGAAGAGTTAAGAGATCGCATAATTTCAAAGTAGAATTCAAAAAGACAAAAGCAAGAGAGTCACTGGAGCTGTGTCACCTTCTTTGTCCTGGATCTTGGCCTTGACATTGTCGATGGTGTCGCTGCTCTCCACCTCGAGGGTGATGGTCTTGCCGGTTAGTGTTTTCACGAAAATCTGCATCTTGCCTTGTTCCTCTTCGCCGCAAGTCTCAAAAAAGCGTTGGGAGTGTGAAGAAGAATATTTGTAGTCCTTCTCCATTTCTAGGGTTTTGTCTTGTGTGAATGTTAAGATGGGCCTTTAATTCCAAAGCCCATAAACCTATGGACATTTCTGCTTTCTTTAAAATTTAGGATGGGCCCTTCATTAACTAAAAAACAGTTTAGATGATGCGAATTATCAAGTGAAACGATTTTAAGAGTATCACTCACGTTTGGTCAAATCGTTTTAGCGTTAAGTTTACATTTACATGAATCGCGTATCACAAGTACACGGTTTAGAAGAGTCTCACTAGTTACTGGCAATAGTATCTGTATCATTACTATTTACTTCCAATGAATTGTTTTTTTCTTCCAATTAATTCCCTGTACTTTTTTCAAGTTACTAATCGAAGGTTCGTACTCAGATTCTTGTTTTCCTTTAAACTTTGGTTACATAATTCAGTGTCAAAAATTATCTTATCTAGCTTTAATTGGCAAATGAATTGCTTCCAACGTCCAACATTATACGGCAATAAGAACGTTCTGGGAGCTAATAACTAGATTGAAAAGGCCATAGATTCATCATAGTAGAAAAATGTTGTTCAAATTGACAAAAACTCTTTCACAATCTAACAAACTCCAAAAATACTGTCATGACAAAATGAAATTGAAACACATGGAGCTAAACAAATCCTTCCGATAAGGCCAAAAACTCAGAGCCTCCTTCCTCTCCTACCACCCTTTCGGCGAGTACTGTCTGTTGGAATGGGAGTAACATCCTCTGCAACAACACATTCCAATGTTAGAAATCCCCAAGACACATTAAAACCGAAATTAGCTTACGGTGTGAAGCTTACCAATGCGGCCAATCTTCATGCCGGAACGGGCAAGAGCTCTAAGAGCAGACTGAGCACCAGGACCAGGTGTCTTGGTCTTGTTTCCACCCGTGGCACGGAGCTTCACATGCATGGCTGTGATCCCAAGCTCCTACGTTTTGCATAAACGAAGAAACGGTGAGGATTTTTTAGTTTTGTAAATTAGTTATATCAGGGTCTAATGTATAGTAGAAAGTACCTTGCATCGCTGAGCAACATCTTGTGCAGCAAGCATAGCTGCATATGGTGATGACTCATCTCTGTCAGCTTTCACCTTCATCCCACCTTAAATCAACACCAAAGAAGATCAAATTATCAATAACAAAATCTCTAAGGATCATCAATGGATTACAAACAAAATGTGCAATCAATAGATTGCTTACCAGTGATACGGACGAGCGTTTCACGTCCAGACAGATCAGTGACGTGCTGCAGAATTGGATCAGATACAATGTCAAACTTCCGTATGAAAATGATAATGCAATCAATCGCACCTTTTGTTTCTATGATGAAGAGTCAGTAAAACTCACAATGAAAGTGTCGTTGAATGATGCGAAGATGTGGACAACTCCAAAGACATTCTCTCCGTCTTTAACAGTTGGGCCAAGAGTCACGTTCTCTTCCTTTGGCTCTCTGGTCTTTCTCCTCGACTATGCACACGCAAAAAATACACACAACACTCAATTGCATTAACAATCTCTTCTACGGTAAAATTAAGTATCTCAAATTGCTGATTTAACGCAGAAATGGACACTCAAATATCAAATCAAGCTCGATAATGTTACAGTAATAGAGATCAAATTCAAATCACAATCTCACTAGAATCCAGGATCCAAAAAAACTAGCTCCAAATAGCACGAAACGAAATTGAGATCGGAAAATCGGGAATCTTCATATGTAACACTAGAAATCAAATCTGAGATAAGAAGATAGAAGAGAAAATGTTAAGGAAACGAATCTTACCATTGTTACGGTGATTGAAAGATTTGAGAGACTCTTAGTCTTGTAGTTCCGCCTCCAACAGAGTTTGAGCAAGAGAGAGACGACGAAGAAACAGATATCGATTTTATATTAGGGTTTATGATTTCTGAGTGATAAGCCTTCGTTTAGGGTTTCGAAATCCATTTTGGGCCGAATTTTAGTTACTGGACTTACTTTAATTCATCCCACCAGTTTCTTTTCCGTTTGGATTACAGACATAAAACGTCGCCGTTTTAATGATATGGGTAATTAAGAAAACAAAAATCATGACAGCTGTGGGATTTGAACCCACGCCCTTTCGGACCAGAGCCTAAATCTGGCGCCTTAGACCACTCGGCCAAACTGTCAACTGTTGTTAAGCTCTAATTACTTACGTGTATATTCTTATACGCGTTATTTAAAATCCTTGTTATTGGGACACTGACTTTAAATAATTTAACTCATGGAACAAGATTTCCAAAATAATACATATAACCTTAGATTTTCAAAATCCATTATATCAAAATATTTTGATTGATTTTATAAATATACAAACTCTCTCCAAATCTAACATAAACTCTTTATAAATTTATCAAATCTCCTAAAAGAGTGACCTTGAGACTATGACGACCATATGTTATTCAATGTTTCTTTTTGTTCCTTTAATTGATATTGATTCATGACGACCATATGGTGCAAGCTTGAGGGTACAATATAGTTTGTGGACAACATTAACTAAAGAAAGTTTGTGGAGCATGAGCATTCCAACAACAGAAACTGTATTTTGTTATCAATGTCATTGGCCTTATTAAGATAGCTATGCCCTGTTTGGTTCCCCCGGGCTCACTCAAATGGACCATGATTCATGACAACCATATGGTGCGAGCTTGAGGGTACGGTAGTTGGTGGATAACATTAACTAAAGAAAGTTTGTGGAACATGAGCATTCCATCAAACACAAGCAGTATTTAAGTAAGTTTAGTTTCATAAGCATTCTTCATCAACTCAAGCTGATAATTGTTTCCCTCTCCCAAAACAATGGCAAGCAAAACTGTGATTTTAGGTGTGCTCATAATGAGTATGGTCATGGCGCAAACTCAAGTAGAAGCTTTTGCGGCTTCTATTTGAATTTGCGCCATGACTATACTCAAGTAGAAGTCACAAAAGCCTATTATCCGAACGCAAGTGCTATAAATACTTATAATGCATTAAGGTTCGGGGATCCTCAGGCATGTACAGCATCATCTTGTGGATGCAGACTCGTTGTCAGGAATTTCTCTCCGGGATTTCTTAACGACGATCACGAAAACTCTGGTCTATTAAAATTCTCTATTAAACTAATTTTATTTGTCACATGATGGATACTTTTTATGCCATGTTTCTTTTTCTCTCTACTTACAGTGATGTTGTTAATGCATACTGCAAGCTGGGGTGTGTATCCTCTGTGTGTGGTGCCATAACCACTCTCCAAAGCTCTGGTATAACGAACTCTCTCAAGCTCTTTTTTCTTCTTGAATATTAACAGACAAGATGTTAATTAATCTATTTATAATTTTTGTTCTGGTGGCTAGACAAAAGTGAAATTGTGATTGGAGCGGTTGAACAGTGTACCAAAGCATGTTCTACTTTTTGCACCAAAGGCTATATTACTACACGTCGTGGAACTGCCTAAACCATGAAGCACACCGAGAAAGACACTACATCTATAAGTTTCAAAAACTGTTGTTTTAATAATAAGTTGTTTACGGTTGTCGTGTCATGTGTGTGTGTTGTAGAAGGCTGTCATCCTAGATTGTATGCGTCTTCTACTTGCATTATCTAATTATTAAAAATAAATAAACTGTACATGTAAAATAATAAACTCTGAGTCGAATATTATAAACGTTTTTAAAATAATAAACTCTATTTTTTTTTAACACTGGATTGACTAATTTAATACACAGATATGAGAACTGCTACAAGACAATTCTACAACGGACGATTCTACCATCTTCAAAGGCTCCCCGGCCGACGGCTCCACATGCACCATTCTGTAGACCTCCCGTAAGCTTGTCTCCAATAATCTGCATAAATTATTAGCAAATCGTATCCACCGGGATTCGAAACCTAGATCTCTTGGTGTAGAAGCATTAAATCCCTTCAACCACTAGGCTAAGGGGCTTCCACAAACTCTGTTTTTGAAGTGAAATTATCCACAAGGGAATACAAACTAAAGAGAATTTTTTCGGACAATAAACATATCATTATGGTAAAGCAATCCAATTTAAACCTAAAGAACAACATCTTTGTTGTCACGACCTTTAATCTACAGGTCATAATATTTTCGGACCATATGGTGTGACGACGACCTTAAATGTTCCTTCATTCCTTTAATTCTCATTCTTTTTCCACAAGCCACAGATGACAGATATATTGCAAAAGGCATGAAAAAAGGAAAGCATGATCTCAACATTGAATTCAAGGGTCAAATTATTTAGGTGACTCGAGCAAGTTCAACAGCTCTTTTAAGAGCTCCTAAGAGGCTTCTCATGATTCTTTCTTCTCCCGGAGGTGCTTTATCTTTCTTCCTCCCATTCCGCGTCGCTTGGAACACTGGTCCTGAACCTGAACCGCTCTCTGTGCTCTCGAAAACCAGACAGTCTATGTAAACCGGAACATCTGTTTTTCCTTCATCCTCCATCACTATGAATCCTAATCTTGCTCCTCCACTAATTCGATCCACCTGCTCTTTTTGTTTATTATTAAAACAAGATAGCTTGTTAGTTTAGTTTTTTTCATTTAGGACTGATGTGTATTGGTATACAAGTTTTTTAAAATTTCATAAACTACAAATTTATAGCTAAAATTGTGTATTAGTTATCGATCACTCGCAAAAGGAAGAGCAAATTTACCTTGAGAGGAACAGGCAGAGGTATATTAGCTCCTTGGCAAAGACTATTAGCCCACTGTTGGGAAAAGTATCACAAAGTTAATTAATGATTTAAAAAATCGCTAGAAGGAGGGGTCGAACCTCCGACCTTGTGGTTAACAGCCACACGCTCTAACCAACTGAGCTATTCCAGCTTTGTTTGCTATAGAATTCACATTTTACCTGAAAAAGAAGGGTCTCAAATCGAGCTAGATCGGTATCAACGGGAAGCTTCATGGTTCCCAAAGAAACGCCGTCTTCCTCCACCGGCAAAGCATTTGCTACAAATGTTGCCCTCTTAATTTGCCGGCGTCGGCCGTTCTTGGTACTCGCTGCGCCATTCGTCGGAAGAACGATAAGCCGGCAAAGATTGGAGGGACGGCGAAGGAAATTAGCCGGAGATCGGACGCTTACTGTCGGCGGAAAGAACAGAGCCGCAGCTGCTAAAGCCATTTTCGTGTCGCGTCCTTCACAGAGTACGAGAGAGAGAGAGAGAGATAGCTTTTTAGAGGATGAGTTGAAACTTGATGACGTGTAAGCCAAAACTTGAAGAATTTGAATAGTTGTCGCTGCCAATTATAAAAGCGAAGACGTGTCCTTATTGGTGCCGCTGATTTTTGCGGAAGGAACACTCTAAAAAAAATCAAGGACTTCTATATTTTAGGCTCAATCTCTATCAAATTACGTTAGTCTTTAGCGGAATTATACTGATATAAATGTAAGTTTTTGATCAAGTAGAGTCAAAACTTGAGCAAAACCACTCCACAATAGTAACAAGGATCAATACAGAGTTAAGAGTTGTAAGTAAACAAATGTCATAAACATTGACTAGTGCTTCTCCTCTTAACAAACACGTCTCTGCTCTAGTCGATCACTTTAGTCCTTAGAATCTTCACTTCATGGATTGGTCTGCGAATCAAAGATTAAAAAACAACGAGATTTCTTAAGTTACACTGTTTTACATTGGGTGGATTCTCGATTGAGGAATAGTATCTTGAAACTGAGAAAGTTTTACCTGTCAGTGTTATCAGTTTGGACACTACCGAGCCTCTTGATCACCTCCATACCTCGGCACACTCTGCCAAATATCGTGTGCTTTCCTGGAAGATGCGATAGATATGTCAAAATCAGAGCAATAGTTAGTAATGAAGGATCTCAAAGCATTGTGTAGTATTCCAGAGATGAATGTGTTTACCATCCAAGGACGGTGCTGGTGCTAAAGTGATGAAGAACTGACTCCCATTTGTGTTGGGACCAGCATTTGCCATTGACAAAATCCCAGCTCCTGTGTGCTTCAACTCTGGCTTTATCTCGTCCTCAAACTTCGAACTAGGAACAAGGCGAAACAAAGCATATAAAAAAATGCTAACACAACATATGACATGATAACATCCATTGTACAGAAACCTAGAAAGTAGAAGCTTTTGGGGTTTCATCAAGCCTTTGAAACACATCAATGGACCCAAAACATGAATGAAATGGACAATAAATAGAGCAACTTGAGCAGCGTTGTCGACAGATTTGAGACTATTAGAACCTTGTGGCTAGAGACTATATACATCATCTTCACAAGTTTTCAATAACGTTTCACCTAATTTCAAAATCTCAGCCAGTCTTGAGTGAAGATCAAACGAAAAGGAAACTAAATCTGTTTGCAATGAATATAAGTAATCAAAACCTAATGGAGACTATAACTTTCATCTGAGCTTAATCACACTCTATCCAAATTCGTTTACCAACATCCATGGAGTGAACCAGAAAAGCTAGAATTGACTAAAGAAAGAGGACAAATTAGATGAACATTTACCCATAAATGGATTGGCCACCTCTGCCAGTTCCAGTAGGATCACCACCTTGCACGATGAATTCCTGAAACAAAATCAATAGCAAAGGAAACAAAATCCTTGAAAATTCAATTCAATTCACAGTGATCTCAGTAGAAACGAAAAAGTTAGAGTGGAAACAGGAAACAGACCTTGATGATTCTGTGAAATAGAACGTTGTCATAGTAACCTCTCCGGGATAGCTCGACGAAGTTCCGGCAAGTTCTCGGGGAGTGTTTGTAGTACATCTGAGGAATTCACATATGTAGAACTTCAAATCAGAACACTGCAACACCTAAAACCCTAAATCTATGCAACTAGGAGATTGATTCGAGAAGAAAAATCTAGATCTCAAGTTCGTGCGAGCTATAATTGAATGTAGTTACCGAAAGGTTTAAGGAAATTATAGCTAGAGACAGAGAGAGAAGAAACCTCGACGGTGAAGGGGCCCATGGAAGTCTCCAGCGTCACCTCCGGCGGACTTCCTTCAGGTCTCGCCGACATTTTTCAGAGACGGAGGAAGGAAGGGGGAGAGAGAGGGAGATTGAGAGCGGCGTCTCGTCGGGAATTGAAGCAGACGAGGACTTTGCTGCTACCTTTAGGGTCGGATCTGATTCTTCCTCAATAATGGGTCGACCCGAAACTTTATAAAACGTTTGGGCCTAGTGTGATCCGTTTTACTTATCTCTTTTTTACCACAGTGTCATGAGTGAAAAAGTTTTTGGTGAAATGCTGGCATATTTAAAAGTGAAATTTTCTTAAGAAAATACTGTAAAAGAGTTTGTTAAAATTATATAATAAACTGAGGCAATATCAAAATTCTATAGTATTTTTTTTTTACAATTAGTTTTTAAAATTAATTTATAATATTTACATATTAAATATAAACAACTCAAGAAAATTGCAATAAAGCGATAATCGAAGATAAAAAAATAGTGGTAAACTGGTAATAAAGAAATAGGGAGAAATTTCAAAACTTCACCTTTTAAAGTGCCAATTTTCAAAAATATACCTCTGGTGTCCATTTTCAAAACTACACTTTTTTCATTGAGTAAAAGAACTCTAAATCCTAAAATATAAACTCAGTCCCTAAAATCTAACATTAAACCCTTAAATCTAAACCCTAAACTCTAAAATCTAAACCCTAATCTTGAATTAGTGAACTTAAACATATATATTAAAATTAGGAAAAAGTGTATTTTTGAAAATTTTCATATTATAGGTGTAGTTTTGAAAATTTGCAGCTCAAGAGATGTATTTCTTAAAATTTCTCAATAAATAGTGATAAGACTTTACATATTACTTTAGACTTTAGTATAAATACTTAAATAGCCTCCACGGTGGTCTGAAAAAATCAATTCAACACATGTCAACAAATAATAAAAACATAGATAAATCGTTTGTAAAGAAGTTGAATTAATAAGATTTTTATAATGCATTGATAGCACCATAACCAGAAAATTGTTATATTTTTGGGAGACTCGAAATATTTGACGTAAGGATGAATTCATTGAAACAAATTGAAATCACGTATATATTAGTATAGAAGGTAACAAGTGAATTTTCATTGAAACAAATTGGAATCACGTATATATTAGTAGAAGGTAACAAGTGAATTTATTACTCAAAAACAAGTGAATTTATTCATAATTTAATTAATGGGTTGTAACATAATTATATCACATGATAATCAAATTCATTATTATTCTATAACTTAATATTTTTTTAGTTTCAAATTACTTGTTATTTGTAAAAATGTATCTGAATATATCACATTTTAGATACATTTCTACAAATGACAAGTAGTTTGAAACAGAGAAAGTATATTACAAATGCTTTTAAAAATGGTTATAACAAAAATAATTGTTTAAAAAATAAGCAATTTAAAGCACATAATGAGCAAAACATAAGCTAATTCTTAGGAAAATATAAGCATATGTTAAAGAAGAAAACAAATTGTAAATTTTTGATTAAATTTAAGACACTAAAAAACAATCATAATCTGAGAGATAGGACTTTAGTGGAGAGAAGTTTCTCTCTCTCCCTTCCTCCTTCTACAATGAAGATAGGACTTCGGTGGAGAGAAGTTTCTACTCTTGACGGAGATATCAATCCGGCAAGAGTTAAAAAATGCTGCTCCTGCCGTGGAGATAGGACTTCAGTGGAGAGAAGTTCCTCCTCTTGATGGCGATATCAAGTCTGCATCTACAAAGAAGATAAGACTTCAGTGGAGAGAAGTTCCTCCTCTTGACGGAGATATCAATCCGGCAAGAGTTGAAAGCTGCTCCTCCTACTGTGGTGAGGGATAAAGATCTTGTTAACTATTTGGGAGATGAGGTCCATTTGTGTTTTGAGATGTGATGTTTTAAGATGTTATGTAAATTTCTAATATATAATCTACTTTGTCTAAATAATACTCTCTAAATGTCATAATGTGTACATGTTTCTGTAAATCTGCTAAACTCTTACAACTTTACCAGCATCCCCATAAAATTTGCTCAATAGCCCCATATTATGCCCAATATCATACTAAAATATGCTAAGTCCCATTAAGAAAAAAACTGATTTAATGATTAATAAATCTGAGTGACTAGTGACGAAACCATTTCAAACCTTGTCTTTGATCAAAACGTGCTAGCCGAGATGTCCAAAATGTGAGGAATGTTAGTATTTTACTGTTTTGTTATTCATAGTTACTAAATCGGTAGATCTCAATGATGGAGGGAGTGTTTTTTTGAACCTGAAGAAAAAGAAAGGGAAATGATCTTACTTCTTAGTAATGATCGAATCCCGACTAAACTATTCAAGCTGGTGTCGTTTTGGGGTTGTTGTTGGGACGTTTTTTCTCTTTTGTTGTCTGAATTTGCTTTGTTGGGAAAAAAAAAGTTATTCAATCGGTATATTCTCTTATATATATCGGTATGGACCGTATGGTAAAGGTTTATCAATCAAACTTCTGTCAATAAAATGAAATGAGGAAGACTTACGATTTCTACATTTCCATTTATAAGAACTTGACACACACGAAACGAAGTAGCTTACAACATTGGTTACGATTTAAAAACTACAACAAAGCCATTTTTTTAGGGCTTATTATACAAAGGATTACTCTATTTCTTACCACATATAAGTATTGAACATATATATTGTAGTCTCTTACGAGTTATGACACTTCACCGTGGCCAGAAATATGGTTTCACGGTGCATAGACACCACCGCCTTCTCCGCCACCAGCACCGCCTCCGTAACCAGATCCGGAAGCAGCAGCATAACCTCCACCGCCTCCACCTCCACCTCCAGAACCACCACCACCTCCGCCTCCACCACCATGCCCTCCAGCACCAGCACCACCACCGTATCCCTCTCCAGCTCCTCCTCCGGCTCCATAACCACCACCATGAGCACCTCTCGCACCAGAACCTCCTCCTCCGCCGCCGCCACTTCCACCACCTCCACCACCTACATGTCCACCAGCACCTCCACCTCCAAATCCTCCTCCAGCACCACCGCCTTCTCCACCACCATACCCGCCATGTGCACCACCAGCTCCTCCACCACCGCCTCCTCCACTTCCTGCACCTCCACCATGACCACCAGCTCCTCCGTATCCAGCCCCACCACCTTCACCGCTTCCACCTCCATAACCAGATCCTCCTCCAGGACCACCACCGCCACCTCCGCCAGCACCACCACCATGTCCACCGCCTCCACCTCCACCAATGCCACCAGCTCCTCCGTAAGCAGCACCACCACCATGTGCACCGCCTCCACCTCCACCAATAACACCAGCTCCTCCGTAACCAGCACCACCTCCTTCTCCCCCTCCACCACCAACACCACCACCAACACCAACATTACCACCATAACCAACATTCAAACCACTTTTCTCGCCATAGCCAGCGACTTCAGCCTCGGACTCAGAGGAGGTGAGAAGTGCTCGTCTTGCAGAACATACCCCTAAACCTATTAAGAAACATAGAAAGAAGATATTTTTGTGATTAGCCATATTTCACTCTTTCTTCTTAGTATTTAGTTGTGAGATGAGTTTGCTTGAGAATGTGACCGTATTTATAGGCAATGTCATGAGATCCAACCGCGTCTGTTGCGCATATAAATGATGTCCTAGATTTCACTTGTTGGGGCCCAAACCTAACCTATCAAGTCTATCTATGGTTATGTTTTCTTGCTTTGCTTTGTGTTATAATGTCATCACTAGAGTTTGACCCGCGCCTTGCACGGGGATGATATTTTCTCAATTTGATTTTATTAAAAGATGTCTATTTACATACAATTTTAGGAACATAGAGTGTTAGACAATTAAAAAAATCAATTTACATTAGACGAAATTTTGAGTGATGCATATTTTTTTAGCCTGGTTTGATTTTTGTCATCGTTTACAGTGTGGTAATCTAACATTTGCTTTAACAACAGTTTCTCCCTTTCCGAACCCACATATATATTAAATTTTAATACATTTAAAATAATTTTATATTTTGATAAATATAAAATGGCATATATATTTTATGTTTTTATCAATTTTAAATAACTAAAATAATTTAACTTATATGATAAGTTATTAGAATTTATTACGTTTAAAATTTTGATCAAACCAAAATATTAAAAATACGATTTAATTATTTAATTCAATTAAAGAATCAAATTAAATCGAATAAAAGAAATTTTAAAGATTTCCAAACATGGTAAATTTTTCTTTCCTATTTGTGATTATGGTTGATCATTATTTGGATCCTATTTTATAATAGGTTTTTGAACTATTATCCCAAAATATAATCATGTGGGACATTTAACATTTTTAGAGATTTGCTTCATTTTTAAAAATTCAAACCATAGCATATGTAAAAAAAACTAATTTTCTTTTTTTAAATATTTTGATGTGATGATATAATTTATTCTTGAAAGTAAAGCTAAACAAAAATGATAGATGAATAAATTAATTTTTAAACAATTAATATAATACAATTGAATAAAACTTTCCATATTTTACTGATTGATTGACTAATAAATAAATTTTCGTCATTACCAAATAAGGAAACTGAAAGAAAATAATTTTCATTAATAATTATTTTTCTGACTAAATTAATCATATATATTTCATTCTCTAACCAAATATGAATGGCATAACATGTAATTAGTCTAGTAATGTTTGTCTTAATTAAAACTAACCTTGAAAGTGAACCTGGTGTTGACACATCAGCATGGCATTTCTGTTAATAACACATGAGACAAAGGTTTATTTTATAGTGTTTTCTCTTTTAATATATTAGGGATAGGTAATTCTTTTATACATACAAAAATCCCAAGTTGAAAATTCACCATATGGTGGAACAAAGATATAAAAATGTCGGAACAAAATATACTATGCAAAAATCTTTTCCGTTGTATAAGCGTGAAATCTGTGCGTGTATTAAGACGATTTTCTATGAAATAGTTTATTTTTTTTTATTGCGGAATAAAATTTCATCATTTTTGTTTGCCAAACACAATGGTGAGGCACATCATCAACCTCTACGAGTAGTTGTAGCCGTTCGGAAACTACAACTGTCTACTAATTAAGTTCATTACAAAAAAACTGAAATAGTAAAATGTAACCGTTCTGAATTAGAAAACACTCAAATTCTACATCTAGAATATTAATGACATGATGCATGCGATACTAAGAGCATCTCCAACCCATCATCAAATCTCCCCTTAAAACCTATTATAGTGTGAAATCCATCTCCAACTCACCCTTATTTTTAACACTAAAATGATGGAACACTATTTTTCCCTCATTTATAGTATAACCTTATTTCTTCCCTCAAATTTGATGTTGATCTTTTTTATTTGCATATTGATCCTTTAATTCTTTCTTTTTTTGCTTTTAACTTAAATATATCATAAAAATCATTTTTATTTTGATTTTTTACTAGAATTAATCATAAAACAGTATTTTAGAAGATGGCATGATTTATATTACACAACTGGATTATAATTCTATTTTATTCACTACAAAGTAAATAATAATAGAAAACTTTTAAAAATTATATATATGAGAAATTATTGAAAGTTTTTGTTTTTTTAATAGAAAAATGTAATTTCTTCATATAATAATAGTTTTATTCAAATAATATACTAATTTATAGAGTTTTTATTGAATAATGAAATAAGTGGGGCTAATTTGTAAAACTTATAAATAAAAGGTTTTTAAAATAAATATGGATTAGGAATATACTTAGAATATTCTCTTTTTAGTGTTAAAAATAAGGGAATACATTGGAGAGAAACATCACACTATTATAAGGAACACTATAATAAGGGAGAAAATAGTGTAATACATTGGAGATGGTCTAAGCTAGACTGACATTACAAACTTTTATCCACATATATACGCTTATACACATTAAAATGGGATTTATTAATTAGTGTAATACGTACCATATATATGCGTGAATATCGAACATGCGAATACTACTAAATTCAGATTCACTTATCACTAAGTAGTGCCACTTGTGATGTTTGGTTGTCTCCCATATTGCATAAATGACACATATATAATCAAATAACTAGTTATAATCAAAATATAATGAACCAGACCTAATTTCTACATATTATCATATTATCCTTTATGGATATCTGACTCACTCCTATGTCTACACTATAACTTTCAAAATTTAAAATAAATTCCTAACAACTTGTGTTTATTAGTGACTTCTCTAATGTTTTGAAAGGTAATAAATATAAATGTTGTATATAAAAACAAATTATATTATGTTGATAGATGCCTCCAATCTGATCACATGTTGCTTACTGTAGCATACATAGTATCTCGCTTAAATTTTAGCCTAAGTTTCAGCTTAGGTTTTATGTTTAGGCCTAGGTTGTTATTTGTTAAGCCGAGTGAGTTTCTTTCTGCATATATTATAGTTATCTTTATACTTTAATCCTCTCTTCGATCGTCACCATTACATTATAAATAATTTGCTGTCGAACTTCAGTATTAATATCGTTTTCTCTTGACGGTAGCCAACACATGTACGTACATTACAAGAAAACATGTTGATAAACCCCATAAATCTAAATTTCCTCTTCGCGTGTCTAATTTCTTCCACAACCGTTATGACAACACATATATCTTCATGATATATAGTTTAATCTAATATAATAGATAGAAACATTAGATAAACCTATTTGGATTGCCAATATATGACCTAAAAATATATATATTGAAGTACACGAGTAATGTGTTTATAAAACTGATGCATGATAGGCATATTATGTGGTGATATAAGTATTTCATCTGTTATTGTTTTTTTTTCAAGTCTTTCAGAGAAAACTTGAACTGTGTTTATATTCTAATTTTGAGTCAAAAATCTATAACGCTATTCCAAATACATCTACATGTCTCTGTTGATTTCGTTATGAGCATGTCTTGATCAGATAATTAAGGCCAGAGAAATATTATTCTCTACACCCTTGTCTGCGGTAAGCTAATATATCGAACCTCAAGTTCTCAACGATTTTTAAAAGATTCATCTCTTCAGTGTTTATTAAACTAAACAAATCACGTGAGTTATTTATCTTTCGCTTCATCAGCATTATATCAAATTCATATATATTCATATACTTACCCACTAACAACAGTTTGATAAGCCTTTTTAACAATATAATGAAAATAAAAACGAGCAAATTAAATACACTATATATATATATATATATATCTATGCAGAAAAAAAAGAAAACTGTGATAATTAGAACAGTGAAATTTGAATTTTCGTTTGTAGTATATATATATATTTTTTTCATTATATAGAAATTTCGACAGAGATGATCTTTTTTTTATTAGAAACAAAAAGGCCATATGAAATTCTCATTATTAGTGGCAATGCATGCCAATGAAGTGTGCCATCCAGCAAAATAGCAACATTAGAAGAAAAAAAACACTTTCCATTCACATGTTATTCTGTCTGATCATAAGAAAATTTCTGTATCTAACAAGAAAATCTCTAGGTTTAATCACAATCTTATAATGAACTCCTTCTGTTCATTGAAAAGAGATATTTCAGTGTTTTATATTGTTTCATATGAAAACATTTTCATTATTCCTCATTGTTTGGTTTTGCGTTTTGCTTAGTTAGTTATATATTATATTGAACTCTTACTTTTCTTTTAATATATGATTTTGTGCACCACTCGATGTTATATAATATACGTATACTATTAAATTAACACATGTAAAATATAAGACACATCACATTCACACATGCAATCCAGCCGAATGCTAACACTAAACTAAAACCGAATTAATCGAAACAAGTTTGGCTAGAGTTCGATTACAATTTTACTAAAATGAAATTAACCTAACCTGAACCAAATCCGGAAATGCTCATTAGAATGTGAAAGGGTGGCCGCAATAAAAAGGAGTTTAGTTTTGTACATCAAAAAGTGGACCCAACCATTTCACTTTGTTTCGCGAGTGCCTCTTTTTAATGTTATCCTAAACTTTTGACAAATTGGTTTAGGCTTATGATTGTGGTGAAAGCCATAAAAAAAAACACTATCTAAAAACTTATACATATACAAAAGAAAATATATAATAAGGACCAACCCAGTGTGCGAGAGCAAACTAGTGCTATTTGTTTAAACATATCATAATCATAATTGAAATGTGACTAAACATTATGCATTATGTGTGGTTTTTTTTATTTTTTAGCTTGATGATTTTACCAACGTATAATTTGACTATATTAAACTTATAAAAACACACGTTTTTGTTTTGCTGTGCATGTGTTTTAGAAAAATAAAACGGTAACTATTCTAGCGCATTACACGAATTAGAAATTGACATCACAACTCCTTCCCCCACAACCAAATAAGATCGAAATCCAACGGCACAATTCCCAGAGACGTTCATCAACACCGAGAAAGAAGCAAACATAGGAATCTTGTGAAAATCTTTATATAGAAAGAAGCAAAATCCTTTACAATATTCTCAAACGAAGGCTCCATCCTTGAAAATCTTTAACGTAAATCTCGATGTCAAGAAGCATAAGTCCATAAATCACACGTTATATAGTTCGGTTTGCACTTTTTCCTACATACGGATCATGCCAACTTCATTAGTTTATGAAATTGAGCTTTTCTTTTTCTTTAGTTGTTATCTCGAACCCAATTAATAATCGGTTATATATGCATTTGTTTTAAAATTTAGACATGTATATTTTTTGCCTTTGGATAGAGATGTTAACATAGATTAACCCGTCAACAACTCCATTGTAACCAAACCAAATACTAACATAACATGACACGAAAATTTTCCAATTTTCATTTGTGAACAATTTTTGTTTTCAAATTAGAAGACTTCATTATTGTGCCAAAAAAAAGAGAGAAAAAAATAAATGAAAAAGAGACGTTAATTATTCTGCTCTCTCCTCACAACACAAACTAACAAAACAAAGATTCAAGTGCCCACATTCCAGAGACGCATATTAGCACCGATTTTGGAGCAAACATACGAATCTACTGCCGCTTGAAGTATCTGATCATGAGAAAGGAACTCATCATCCCAATCACTCATACTTATCCTCTTTTCTAACCTCACTCCTTCGTGCCCCAAACACGCCTTCACAATCTTCTCAAACGAACATGTACATATCCGGTCCTCCTCATCCACCATATAGTGCCTCATGTCAAGAAGTCTCCAGATCTCCAACTTATGGCGGCACATGGCGAGCTTTTCCTTGTCTTGGCTGTTCCAGACGCCGACGAAAGTGATTCTGCGATCAGCTAGGAATCTTCGAAGGACGTTGGGGATGCGATTACAGTAAGACAACTGGACGATGAGACAACTTCCACTGACGCATAAATGGAGAACGTCCGGCGGGGGATCCGAACCACCCGGTGTCCACTGGACCCCTACACCTACGACGAGAGAGTCTGACGCGTAACGTCGACGGTTTCTGTAGCGTTCGGTGTAGATCCATCGGCGGATCAGAGAGGGAGATTCAGTGACCGTGACACCAATTCCTTCTCCGAAGAAATCGACATAGTAGAATTCGGAAGCGATTTTTTTGATCGTCGGAGCCATTGCTCTTCTTTTTACTCTTCTATCTGATTTGAAAAAAAGGTTACAGAAACGTGACATGCATTAACGTAGTTATCAACCCCAAGATCCAAATAAATAGTCACTGAATATAACGGCTCCTAGATTTCATTTTTGAATTTTTAAAGATTTCATCTAAGATATTGGAAACAATATCAACAGGAATATTTCGGTGGCAAAAACGTAGATAAGAAGAATTTAATGTGGTGCTTACCAACGAAAACGATACAATCTCCGATATTATTGTTAGATCCAAAATCACACAATAATAGTAAGATAAGAGATGTGAGATGTGAGGTTTATGAGAGACTCTTTATTAGATCAACTAATGACAAAGATGGTAAAATGGTTGATTTGTCTCGACGACAAGCTGGACGAGACGAATACGAAAAGAATAAAGTAACTAAGAACAAAGGACGAATTGTAACTAGGGTTTTGCCTATCTACTCTTAGTGATTATGGAGAATTTCTGGATGGTCTTCAAAAAATAGGGGGTCTTCTATTTATATGGAGGGGAGGCCGGGTTCTTCAAGATATTCTTCCATATTTTTTTGGAAATATTCTTCTTCGATGTTGATCTCCTTCCATTTTTCTTGGAAGTAGTCTTTTTCTCCAAGTACTTCCTTTTCTTTGAGGAGGTAGAAGTGGAAACGGGCCGGGCTTGCATAGTATTATTAATTGTGACGGGCTCAGGGAAATTGTGTTAATTTCACCTCTAACAATAAGCCCCCCAGTTTGGCGAGATAAATGCAGTTTTATCTCGGCGAACTTCATGTATGAAAGAGGACCTCAAGAGCAATTAATAATAATTATGTGATGCCGATGCTGTCGCAATGCTGCGCTGACGTGATGCTGCGTTGCATTATTGACTTTAGATCTGTACCGCCTCGTTAAAACCTTGATATGGAAAACCCCTATGGGATAAAAACCATAAAAAGGGAAAAGAGTACGATGACGTAATCTTGTCCGCAAATAGAATATGCTTTTGACAATTTCTCTCATACTTGACGAGATGACTCATTTATCTCGTCAAGGAGAATAGATTGCCGTGATGGTTTTCTCGGATTCGTGCTTCGACGAGATTGGTTTTATTAGGCTCGTGTGATGACGAGACCGCTCGATCTCGTGTGATGACGAGATCGGTGTCTTCTCGGACTCGTGTGATGACGAGACCGCTCGATCTCATGTGATGACGAGATCGGTGTCTTCTCGGGCTCGTGTGATGACGAGACCGCTCGATCTCGTGTGATGACGAGACCGCTCGATCTCGTGTGATGACGAGACCGCTCGATCTCGTGTGATGACGAGATCGGTGTCTTCTTGGGCTCGACATATGCTCGTCAAGAAGGATCAATCTTCGGACGTGACTAGCTTTTGTCGATGTCGAGATGATGAAGTAGTTATGCCGAGACCGTGTTCAACGCGATGCATCGTATACTCATGCCGAGATGGTGGGGAAGTAATTTCATAGTCGAAGTTTTATCTCGACTCTCGGCATTCAGACTTCAGATTTCGGACTTTGAGACGCGACAACTTTGGTCGACCTCCAAAATCTGAAGGAATTTTTTGCCGGTTTGGACGCGATGACTTCGTCGACTTATTCCGTGTTATGAATCTGAGAGATCAGAAATATGCGAAGTTTTATCTCGACTTTCTTCGACTTCGTCCTTCAGACCTCAGATCATTCCCATCGGTGCGGACGCGACGGCTTTGCGTCGCCTTACTCCTCATGGATGATCAGTCCGTATGTTTTTCTCGGATTCGCGCTTTGGCGTGACCGGTTTTATCGAGCTCGTGTGATGACGAGCTGCTCGGTCCCGTGTGATGACGAGACCGGTGTTTTCTTGGGCTCGTGTGATGACGAAACCGGTTTTGTCGAGAGGTTTGGCCAGAATGTCGACATGTGCCTTTGAAGGTAAATAATGCTCATCTCGTCAAACGGATTATAGAATTTTATTGGAGTATAGCAGAACTTTTGGAAAGGCTGCCTACGTACCCATGCCGGGATCAAGCCATTCGTAGTTTGTTTTCTCGGTCTCGTGCTTGAGACCGGTTTTTTTTTGGATGCCGAGATGTTTATCGGACTTGCTGTTTCAGCGGCGGAGGCAGATCATCTTGGTGAGGGAGTGATGCAGGCGCGTTCTTCTCGGCGTCGTCCTTGATCTTGGCGCGACGTATTTCTACTTCGGCGCTGGTTTGCAGCTCGTCGATTTTCGTCGCGGCGTTCAGCATCATTGTGGCTTTGCGGAGTATTGCTGTACTCTAGTATCATGTTGTTGATGCGCCTACATTCTTCTGTAGTATGATCGGTTCGTCCATGGAGTTTGCACCATTTGGACTCGTCGCCCTGTCCTGTGTGAAAGACTCATAAGTCAGTTCTTGACGAGATGCCTCTTTTATCTCTTGACGAGATGATGTGCCAAGATGACTCCTTCGTCATTCCATGAATCTTTGAGTGGTGCGCCTTGCTTTCTTCGACGCAGACGTATTTTTGGGACTGTGCAAAGCGTCCTGGAGGGTTGCGGGTTCGTCGAGCATCAGACTCTCTTTCAACTTTGATTCGAACCAAAGCCCGTTTTCGAAAGCCTTGATTCCCATCTCGTCGGGGATGTCTGAGTGCTCAGCTGCTGCTGTTTTGAATCTCTCGACGAACTCGCGAAGAGACTCATCTTTTCCCTGTGCCATAGTGAAAAGATTGGTGCTGCCTTTTGACATAAACATGCCAAAATGTTTCATGAATGCCGTGCTGAGATCGTCAAAGTTGTCGATGGTCTCGGCGGGAAGATTTGAAAACCAGCTCGTCGCGTCTTTGTTCATGTGCTCGATGAACACTTGACAGTAATTTGCGTCTTGTTCTTCGGGGGAGGCATATTTTTGCCTTCTCATGGCCATCTCGAAGTTTCTTAGCCAGTTTCGAGGATCGTCACCCTTGTTGTAGAACTGAAGACGGAGAGCCGTTTGATCCCTTAGAGGTATCGCGGCGATGCGACGAGTGAAAGGACTCTTTTCGTCTCGGCGAGGACTTTTTGGCAATCTCGGGTGCCGAGCTGATGGTCGTGCACTTTGGAGCTGATTGCGTCGAGGTCGCGGCGCAGCTTGGCCACTTCCGGGTCGGTGTCTTTCTCACCATTCGTCGTGGCATTAGAGCTAGTCGCGGCGGTGCTTCTTGTCGGCGTCTGGAAGAGGGTTCGTCCATCGCTGGTGACGTGGAGGGAGTCGATCTTGTCGTTGTACTTTTGCTGATGAGCTTGCATCTCGGCGAATTGAGTAGCAATTTGCAGCGGCGGTTAACGCGGCGGTCGTGACGGGAGCTTCTACGTCAGAACCGGTGGCGGCGAGGGTTGACGTGACCGTTGGTCGCGTCGATTTCGACGGGATGGACGATGGGGTTTCCATCTGCGCCGAGTTGACTTTGCAGTCCGCCTTGTTCTGGTGCTGGGATCATCAGCTGGAGGTGCCATCTTTGAACCTTGATTGACTTTTTTTCAGATTTTTTCTCCAGCCCCACGGTGGGCGCCAATTGTTAGATCTCAAAATCACACAATAATAGTAAGATAAGAGATGTGAGGTTTAGGAGAGACTCTTTATTAGATCAACCAAAGACAAAGATGTATAAGGGGTGATTCGTCTCGACGACAAGCTTGACGAGACGAATACGAAAAGAATAAAGAAACTAAGAACAAAGGACGAATTGTAACTAGGGTTTTGCTTCTCTGCTTAGTGATGGTGGAGAATTTCTATATGGTATTCAAGGAATAGGGGGTCTTCTATTTATATGGAGAGGAGGTTGGCTTCTTCAAGATATTCTTCCATATTTCTTTTGGAAATATTTTCTTTGGTGTTGATCTCCTTCTATTTTTCTTGGAATGTAGTCTTTTTCTCCAAGTACTTCATTTCTTTTTGAGGAGGTGGAATGGAAACGGATCAGACTTGCATAGTATTATTATTAATTGTGACGGGCTCAGGAAAATTGTGCTAATTTCACCTCTAACAATTGTTTTGGGCTTTGTGTTAGACCAGTTACTTGAAATAAGTGATATAGATTTTAGGGTTTAAAATAGATAAATCTTATTAAGAGCTCAAACTCATATATGTTACAAATAGATTATACTGTAAAAAGCGACTACCGGACTGAGTAACAGAGACAAGAAACTAAAGAAAGATTAAAACTAGGGTTGTGAATTTGCTCCAAGTCTCTCGATCCAGAATTTCGGATCCTTTCCAAGTAATGAGAGCTTCTTATATTTATAGGAAATCTATGTGGCATCATTTGACCTATATATCTTTTTCTCTTTAGGAAATATTCTAGTTTATCTCGATCTTTTTCTTTATTTTGTAGAGATTCACTTTCATCCTTTTCATAAGGAAGGTTGCAGTTGGCTTTCATTAACTAATTATTAATGTGAGATCATCCGTGGAAGAAGTGATTATGTCGGTCATTCGTTGACGAAGTGATTCGTTGATATTCTCCGACGAAATGATTTTGTCGAGATCATCCGTGAACGAAGTGACTATGTTGGTCATTCGTCGATGATGTGATGTATTTCAGATGCTCTAAGGCCACGTTGGATGCAAAGACTATCTGCTTCTACTTATACCATTCGGGCATTCTTCATAATTGTGTGAGGGAACTCTAGGCCGCTTTGGAGCGAAGGTTATATTTTTTTTATTAAGTTATAGCTGAAACTTTTGTAAGATTTTCTAGGTAACTCAATTGCGATTCAAGTAATCAATGCGCCATTGTGGAGTTCTTTTTTTTTTTGGGCGGGATCAATGCCCACCTAAGTGTTTACTCCTCCAATTCAGAGGGTTCGACTTTTTTTGTTTTTAACTCAGATTTGACCACAAACCATTTCAAATTGCTTCCAGCGATTTAGTGTTGAAGATTTCGACATGATCAGACACACACAGCCCTTTAGAATCTCTCAATAAAGGCGTGCAAGGGTTCTCCTCTTTCTTGAATGAGGGTGGACAAGTTCTTCCCACTCTTCACCATGTTCATTGAGTAGTGCTTCACGAACACTCTAGTCAACTCATTGAAATTGTTGATTGACTCAGACGGTAGGATCGAAAACCAGGGTAGCGCTTCTTTGCCCAAAGGGCTTTTCCTGGCATATGCGATAACTTGATTGATTTATAGTGCCGCACTGGTCACGCAATGCATGGTCGAGGTAAATTCGTCAAGTCATTGGTGGATTTTCGCGACCTGGAGGTCTACTCGGCGCGTGTTCACTGGTACACTGCTGCTGCTTCTCTCTTGCTGATCTCGTTTTGTGTTGAAAATTTGAGTGATCGAAAGAAAGCCACTATTAGTGATGCTGCAAGTCCGAGCTTAGTAGAATGGCACAAATCGAATGGGAGAAATGTAAAAAATTGTCATGTCTGTTATGGAATAAAGAGATTAAGAGATGAGAGGAATTCGTGATATGTTATTCCAATAGAAAAAGGGACCTTTATATAGGTGTACAACATTAGGGTTTTCCTTATAGGAAGTACACTTGGTGGACAAGTAAGAATATTCTAGAAGATGGACCTGATAATGGGCATCCACATAAAGCCTTTTCATAACACTTCCCCTTGAATGTCCATTATAAGTAATGTGCGGATGATGCTACCTCATTAAAAACCTTACTAGGAAAACCCAATGGGAAAAACCAGTTAAAGAGTGTAGCGCACAATTACTTCCCCTCATGTGGACATCCGTTGAGACTTTGAGACGACGCAGTCCAATCATATGAGTTAGCTTCTTGAAAGTAGATGTTGGAAGCGCCTTAGTAAACAAGTCCGCCAAATTTTCGCTTGAACGAATCTGGTATACACTTACATCGCCATTCTTCTGTAACTCATGGGTGAAGAAAAACTTCGGTAGGATGTGCTTCGTTCTGTCTCCTTTAATGTACCCATCCTTGAGTTGTGCGATGCAAGCAGCATTATCTTCATACATAACCGTTGGAGCTCCTTTTCCTGTCTGTACACCACAATCTTCTCGAATGTGTTGACTACAGACCTCAACCAAATGCACTCACGACTAGCTTCGTGGATGGCTAATATCTCTGCATGGTTAGAAGAAGTAGCTGCAAGAGTTTGCTTCATAGAACGCCAAGAAATAGCAGTACCTCCACAAGTGAACACATATCCAGTTTGTGAACGGCAGTATGTGGATCAGACAAGTATCCTGCATCTGCAAAACCAATCAAGTCTTCCTTGCATGTATTAGAAAAGAATAAACCCATATCTTTCGTGCCTTGCAGATAACGAAGTATATGTTTAACCCCATTCCAATGTCTTCTGGTTGGACATGAGCTAAACCTTGCCAATAGGTTCACTGCAAATGATATATCAGGTCGTGTATGACTAGCAAGATACATCAATGCTCCTATGGCACTCAAGTATGGTACTTCAGGACCAATAACTTCTTCATCGTTTTCCGAGGGCGAAAAGGGTCCTTTAATACATCAAGTGACCTCACAATCATTGGACTACTCAAAGGATGAGACTGATCCATGAAAAACCTTTTGAGAATTTTCTCAGTGTACGCCATCTGGTGCAGTAGAATTCCATCCACAAGATGCTCAATCTGCAATCCCAAGCAGAATTTCGTCTTTCCGAGATCTTTCATCTCAAATTCTTTCTTCAAGTATTCTACTGTATATGAAATCTCTTCAGGAGTTCCAATAATATTCAAATCATCAACGTACACCGCAATGATAACAAATCCTTTACCGAATTTCCTTATGAATATGCATGGACTGATAAGATCATTCTTATAGCCTTCCTTCAGCAAGTACTCACTAAGACGGTTATACCACATACGTCCTGATTGTTTCAATCCATAAAGAACGTTTTAACTTTATGGAGAAATCTTCTCTAGAATTTGATTTCTCTGCTTCAGGCAGTTCAAATCCTTCTGGACTTTCATATAGATCTCATTATCCAATGGACCATATAAGTAGGCTGTGACTACATCCATCAGCCGAAAATCAAGTCCTTCTCTTATAGCAAGAGTAATGAGATACCGGAAAGTAGTTGCATCCACTACAGGAGAGTATGTCTCTTCATAATCAATTCCGGGTATTTGTGAGAAACCCTGTGCAACTAAACGTGCCTTGTGTCTCACAATTTCACCATTCTCATTCTCTTTCGCACAAAAATCCATTTGTGCCCTACTGGTTTAACACCTTCAGGTGTACGGACTACTGGTCCGAATACTTCTCTTTTACCAAGAGAGTTGAATTCCGCATCTATTGCCTCATTCCATTTTGGCCAATCAATTCTTTGCATGCACTCTGCAATAGATGTCGGTTCATGATCCTCATCCATAATATCGATTGCTACATTGTATGCAAATATTTCATCGACGTCGATTTCCTTTCGGTTCCACTTTATTCCAGACATGACATAATTTATTGAGATCTCTTCATTCTCAGGTACCTGAATTTCAGTCATGTGTAAAGTCTCTTCTGGAGATCTTTCATTCGTGGTTACCTCGGTTTCACTATTGCCAATTTCTGCTCCTTTTCTTTTCCGAGGGTTTATCTTTGGAACCAATAGGTCTACCACGCTTCTGGCGTGTCTTAGACTCTGTAGCAATCTGATTATGCCCTTCTGGACATTCAATCTAATTGGAGCATTCTCAGCTGGTATATGTGACCTTGTCACTCTTTTGGGTCAGCAAATGCCTCTGGCAACTGATTTGCTAAACCCTGCAAATGAATTATCTTCTGGACTTCTAATTCACACTCTTTAGTCCGAGGATCAAGATAAGATAATGATAATTCATTCCAGCTAATCTCTTTTCCCAGCTGTTTAGTTTCTTCCCCTAATGTTGGAAAGACTGATTCATTAAAATGACAGTCTGCGTATCTAGCCTTAAACAAATCCCCAGTGGATGGCTCTAGATACTTATGATTGATCAGAATCATATCCAACATATATTCCAATCTCCTCTGAGGTCCCATCTTAGATCGCTGTGGTGGAGCAATCGGGACGTACACCGTACACCCAAAAACCTTTAGGTGGGAGATATTTGGTTCTTTGCCAAGAACCAACTGTAATGGGGAGAACTTATGATTACTTGTTGGCCTGATGCGAATCAGTGTTGCTGCATGCAAAATAGCATGTCCCCAAGCAGACACAGGAAGTTGGGATCTCATAAGTAGTGGTCTAGCAATCATCTGAAGACGTTTTATAAACGACTCAGCTAAACCATTTGTGTATGAACATGAGCTACTGGATGTTCAACACTTATCCCAATCGACATGCAATAATCATTAAAAGTCTGAGACGTGAATTCACCAGCATTATCAAGCCGAATTGCCTTTAAGGGGAAATCTGGAAAAGTGTGCTCGTAATCTTATCAACTGAGCAAGCAATCTGCAAACGCCAAGTTGCGAGTTGATAACAAGGATACATGTGACCATCTAGTAGATGCGTCAACTAGAACCATAAAGTATCTAAAGGTTCCACATGGTGGGTGAATCGGCCCACAAATATCTCCTTGTATCCTTTCCAGAAAATTGATCGATTCTGTATTTACTTTGGCTGGTGAAGGCCTTATGATCAGCTTGCCTTGTGCACAAGCAGCACATGTGAAATCATTAGGCAGAATCTTCTGGTTCTGTAATGAGTGTCCACATGAATTAATGATTATCTTTCGCATCATTCCTGTACCGGGATGGCCTAACCGGTCATGCCAAACATTGAAATTTTCATTACACTTCTGGTGTACGACCGACAACTTCTGGTGTCCGGTCAACAACTTCTGGTGTACGGCTATATTTGCCTCGATTGTATTTATATTCGTAAAGTACAATCCGGTGGAGAACGCAGGTAGCCTTTCTACAATGGCTTTAGAACCTTGGGTAATGCGTGTAATATGAAGGTATTCAACCTTTCCTTCACTCACAGTCTCAATGTGATATCCATTTCTGCGAATATCTTTGAAACTCAATAAGTTTCTTTCAGCAATAATATGCACGCTCTTCCGGAGCCCTCAATTATATTTGCACTACCCATTACTGTGCTCACACTTGCTTCTTTCATTTCCAAATGAGAGAAATATTTCTTAGTTTTCAAAATGGTGTGGCTAGTGGCACTGTCTGCCAAACATAAATCTCCACCATTCATTGCTTCTTCTGGAGCCTTCAAATATATAAACAATTTATAAATAACTTGGTAATGTAAATAAATGAAATAAAATATCAATTCATAAACTCATAGAATCAAATGATAGAAACACCAAAAGCCATAAACATCAAAAGCCAGAAATAATAAAGCAAACAATATCTTTAAGTAAAAGCATAAACTTAAATTCTCATATTCCCTTCAGGGGCGAGAATATCAGCAATCTCCATGTGAGTTGCTTCACTCATCTCAAGATCATCTTCACCATCTTCGTACACCAAGTTTGTTTCCACATTCTTTCCCTTTTCCTTAACAGCTTGTTGATAAAGACCAACAAGGTGTTTTGGTGTACGGCACAAACGAGCCCAATGGTCATTTCCTCCACAGCGGTAACATGCATTCCCTTGTGTTACTTGTTTGTTACCACCTTTGTTTTCCTGATTTGGTGAGAGCGTGCGTTCTTAAACGAACCTCTTTGACGTACACCAAAATCTCTTCCACGTCCACGACCCCGTCCACCACGACCTCGACCACGGATGTGGCCTTGTCCTCTGTGGTTTTGTTCTTTCCTATCATAGGATGTCGCATTCGCTTCAGGGAATGGAGCAGAACCAGTTGGGCGCAGACCATGATTTTTCATCAACAGCTCATTATTTTGCTCTGCCACAAGAAGGCAAGATATCAACTGGGAATACTTCTGGAATCCCTTTTCACGGTATTGTGTCTGCAGGACAACATTATTTGCATGAAATGTAGAGAATGTCTTCTCTAACATATCAGCATCCGTGACTTTCTCTCCACATAATTCCAACTTGGAGGTAATCTTGAACAATGCTGAGTTGTACTCACTTACAGACTTAAAGTCCTGGAGTCTCAGATGTGTCCAATCATAACGAGCTCTAGGTAAGATCACAGTTTTCTGGTGATCATACCTCTCTTTCAAACTAGTCCAAAGGACTTGTGGATCTTTCACATTCAGTACTCACTCTTGAGACCTTCGTGGAGGTGATGGCGAAGGAATATCATTGCTTTTGCCTTATCCTTAGATTCAGCCTTATTCCCTTCCTTGATTGTTTCACCAAGCTCTTTTGCACTGAGGTGGATTTCGGCATCTAGTGCCCACGCGAGATAATTATCCCCGGAGATATCCAACGCCTCAAACTCTAAACTCGTTAGGTTTGGCATGATTACTGAAAGTAATAAGAAACAATCGTTATGTCTTCAGGATATATAAATAATCATCGTGTCTTCAGGACAGAGATATAAGTGTACAAGCATGTCTGCAGGACAAGTGTACTCGACTGATCTAAAGGATAACAATGTATAAACAGATCAAGTAGATATGATATATATAACTCAGTGCATAAACAGATCTAACAGACGAAATATATAATTCAGTGTATAAACAGATCTAACTCAGTATTGATCAGTATTCAGTTTCATGTTTATGCATCATTGAGATAAATCAGTATTCAGTTTGAATGACATGCACGTGATCAAGACAATATGATCAGAATTCGAGTTTTAGTTATATATATGCATAAACCCTAATCACCATGTTGAATCAAGTGTTTTATCGCATGTACATCAAAGCATTGATATCTCATCGCGCTGTACACCGAAACATCGATTATTGAATCGTGTAGTACACTTAAAGATATATGTGACTCACTGGGTTGAACAATGGTGTGATTAAATATAACATGATACATGTTTCGATAAACCATAGAAAATAACAATCAACAGTGCTTAACGCAATAAGATATAGCATAAATCAAAGCATATATCAAAGTATGAATCATCGACAAATCACATATATGACACGGCATAACAAGATGCTAGTTCGATAACTTGGATCGTTAATCAATATATGTGATTAGGATTGATATTCCAGAACCATGAATCGATAGTTAGACATGGTTCTTCATATTGAAGAGCATTAGATCTGAAATCTAAAATAACTACCTTTTAGCTCTGACGGCTAGGGTTTTAAACCTAGAGAGTAGAGACTCGTGCTGATAACGTGTTATGGAATAGAGAGATTAAGAGATGAAAGGAATTCGTGATATGTGATTCCAATAGAAAAGGGACCTTTATATAGGTGTACAACATTAGGGTTTTCCTTATAGGAAGTACACTTGGAGGACAAGTAAGAATATTCTAGAAGATGGACCTGATAATGGGCATCCACATAAAGCCTTTTCATAACGATGTCCATGCATGTTAACTACATATATTCGCATATATTATTCCTTTCTTTCTTAACAATAGATGATATTGATGACTGAACGTCTTTGTGCTAGCAGCTCAGGTTAGCTCACTTATTAGACTGTGATCTATTATATTTAACACAAAATTTTCCAAAAAATGACATTCGACAGAAAATGAAAGGCTAATTTTGTCATTGGGCTTTTCTTTTAGGATTCCGAAGTGCTCTGCTCCATTTCTACTCTTCTTAATATTTTGCTCAATATTTTGGTTCTTCTTTCGGCTTCTTCTTCGTTCGAAGGACTCGACTATTGATCCCAGATTGAACTCGGGAGATCTCGGACACTGATTAGCCCTCCATCTTTCTCCGCTCTTCCTGATGTTGGTATGATTCCCCGTCGTCCCTTTCATTTCGTTTTGCTTTGTCATTGCTCTTGAAGTGGCCATTAACTTGGCTATTCGTAAATAGAACAACAAGGTCTCCAAAGATGATGCTAGTGAAGAGAAGGGTGAACGAGCTACGATGGTTAGTTTTTCTTTTTCCCTTTTTTTTTTTTTTTTTTTTGAACAACTTCTCATTGACATAAACTCAAACGGTTACAGCAGCTAATTGGAGACTCTTTGCCAAGGAGTATCTTCCACTTGTTGCAGAAATGAAAGACAAAGCATTAAAAAGATAGGTTATACAGTTTGAATTATAGAAGCAAACTGGAAGCTTCTTTGAAAGGGCTTCTAAGATGATCATTCTGAACACGATCTGAAGTTCTTCTGCCAATAAAGACGAATGAACAACACTAATAGCTCGTGCTGAGCGTTTGAAGACTGTCTCCTTAAAGGAGAGGAGCAAATTCAGAGATATGCGGGTAAGGCAGCAATACTCTAGAACCGCAGATGATGTCCCGGCATTTGATCCGGTAAAATTGACATTACAGGAGGGAATATGTCGACCACTAAACAAGACCATAAGATTGATGGAGCTTGAGTGGGAAATGATGAGTAATCTGAGGAGGAGGTCAAAGTACCTTGCTGGGCTCACTTTTCGGATTGGACAATAGATGTCAATTACTCCGAGACTTCCAAAATGTGATGAGATCCCGAGAGATGATCCGGTCAGTACCGTAGATACACCAAGGGAGGATGAAACGATTGGGTAAGCATGACTGGGGACTGTGAGATAAAGCAGGTCCTTGCTGGACTGCGAGGTAAGAGGCTTCCAAGCTTCACGGCAGTGGAGGAAGCTGACAGCTGAGAGAGGTGGAACAGATCTGATGGTATCGAGAGTCCACGGACATCAGGTGGATCAGGCGGGTCCGGTGGATCCGGCGGCGAAGCCGGAGAGAGAGGAGCAGCAGAGCCAACCATCGTCTTCACCGGATCTGGAGGTTCCGATGGTTGGAGACCATCACTGCAGCAGAAACGGAACAGCGCAGTCATGGAAAAGGAAGAGAAACACCGTCGGGCTTGGGAGAGCAGGCGAACTGAAACAGAGGAGCTCGTCGGAAAAGGAGGTGACGAGGGAGGAGAACCAGATTCCGTCTAGACTCTGCGGCGACGAGACGGAGGCTGGCTTCTGTAGAGCTAGACGCGCAAGCGGTCGGCGAGAAAGCAGAGGCGGAGGCTCATCTGGATCTGAGATACGTCGTGCGGCGGCTGCCTCGGGAGGAGTGCCTGGGAGAAAAGATTAGGGCGAACCTCGCTTCTCCTCCTTTTTCTTTTTCCCTTTCATCGAGAATCTAGGGTTTTTTTTTCAGATTCGCTCTGATTCACTTTTGTTTCTCTGTAGGCATCACGTAATGGAGCAACACCTATTAGTGACTTCTTTAAGTCTACCTTAGGGCCAAAGGGAATGGTAAACTTCCGATCCCCAATATCAAAGAGCTCTCTCTAAATGTTGATTTGAGTCTATTGATTGTAGCTTAATCTCACTGGTCTTCAGGATAAAATCTTAAAATCTTACAGCCTACTGGTAGAGGTCACGCGGTCACTGTTACCAAGAATGAAGCTAATATTCTCAAGTCACTTCACATAGACAACCCTGCAGCTAAAGCTGTTGTTGGTATGGATTCCTGCAACATTCTCGCTTTGCAATTTTCAAATCGTTTTTTTGTGTGTGTGTGTGGGTCTTTCTCACTTCTTGTATGTGATTGCAGACATTTCCAAAGTTCGAGATGGTGAGACCAAATAGAACTTTCAAGGGGATGAATCAATACAATATGCCATGATATTTCTTTTAATTTGATTTTGGCAATATTTGCAACCGATACAGTATGTCCAATTTGAGTTTTTCGTGTTCTTTAATTTGCTTTTCTAAATTTTTAAGTTAGAAGGTACAATTTGAACCTAAACATACGTACACCAATGTCTTGAAGAATTTTGATATTGCAGAATAAAGTTGCATGTCAAAAAAAAAAATTGCTAAGTCGTGTGAATAAAATTGCATGTCAATTTTTTTTTTGTGCATGTCAATTTGATATTGTGAATAAAATAACTACACATCATTTGATATTGTGAATAAAATAACTACACATAATTTAGGAATGGTTATGCATGAATAATCATATGAAATGTTGTGCTTTACTTGAAAAAAAACCAACGAATTTTTTTATTAAAAAATAACCAACGAATTTAAAAGTACACTAGGAGAGAACCCGCGCAATGCGCGGGTTTATTAAACCAAATATTTTTAATTTAATTATTCAGAACATTAGATTCGAATATATCATTTGTTTTTTACTCGAATATATTAGATTCTGTAAGTTTTGCATTTTGTTTTTTTTCATATAGTTTTAAAATTTAGTTGTTATTTACGTGAAATCTTATATAGACTCATAGTGAATAGTTTCATATGTTTTTTGTTCTTTTATACAATAATTTATCGACTGGAGTTGAGTTCTTCTAATTTTCCTTATACTAACAATCATTATAGATTGATTATTATCCTACAGACTCATAGATAATAATAATTGCAATCCTTTTTAAAAGGAAATGAAATGAGCTAATTAGCCAGTAAGCCCATTTAAAGCTACCATGGAAACGAAGAGGTCCGATAAATAATCAAGCCTATCAAAACGAACAACATTACACATAATTTTGATTTAGATTTTTTTTTTTTTTTACGAAAACGACGTCGTTTTGGTGTAAGACGAAAAAAAAAAAATAAAGCGCAAAACGACGTCGTTTTGGTGTTAGGCGGAAAAAAAAAAAAGTGCCACGTGTCAAAGCTTGAGATGTCCAAGCCTTATTAGTTATGTAGATTCATTATTCAGTCAATTAACAAAGCTCGGTTGCTCAATTGGCATTAAACTAAATCAACATAAACCAGTAAACCACACGTTATTAAGCTCTTTTTCCTGCATATGGATCATGCCAACTTCACTAGACATTAGTTTATGATATTGAACTTTTCTTTTCTTTAGTTGTTAGCTCAATCACGATTTATAATCGGTTGCTAATGAGACTTCTCTTTATATATACATTTTGTTTTAACTTTTAAAATCTATACATGCATGTAATTGCCTTTGGTTAGGGATATTAACAAAAACTAATACGTTAATTTAACTCGAATTTTATTTTTCAGTTGATAACGCATGCATTGTAATCAAAACAAATGATAACATAATTTTAAACAAGAAAAAAGGTTTTCAAATTAGAACACGTTAATTATTCTGCCAATACAAAAAAAAAGAAAGATAAAGAAAAAACGACGTTAATTATTTTGCTCTCTCCCCCAACACAAACTAACAAACACAAAGATTCAAGTGCCCACATTCCAGAGTCCCATATTAGCACCGATTCTGAAGGAAACATACGAATCTACTGCCGCTTGAAGTATCTGATCATGAGACAGGTACTCATCATCCCAATCACTCATACTTATCTCCTTTTCTAACCTCACTCCTTCGTGCCCCAAACGCGCCTTCACAATCATCTCAAACGAACATGTACATATCCGGTTCTCCTTAGCAACCAGATAGTGCCTAATGTCAAGAAGTCTCCAGATCTCCAACTTAAGGCGGCACATGGCCAGTTTTTTCTTGTCTTGGCTGTTCCAGACGCCGACGAAAGTGATGCTGCGATCAGCAAAGAATGGAGATGCGTTCACAGTAACACAACTGGATGATGAGACAACTTCTACCGACGCATAAATGGAGAACGTCCGGCGGGGTATCCGAACCACCCGGTGTCCATTGGACCCCGACTCCTACGACGAGAGAGCCTGACGCGTAATGTCGACGGTGTAAGTAGCGTTCGGTGTAGATCCATTGGCGGATCATAGAGGGAGATTCAGCGACCGTGACACCAATTCCTTCTCCGAAGAAATCGACAGTGTAGTGTTGGGAAGCGATTTTTTTTATCGTTGGAGCCATTGCACTTCTTTTTACTCTTTTATCTGATCTGGAATAGGTTACAGAAATGTGACATGCATTTATCAACCCCAACATCCAAATAAATAGTCACTGAATGTAACGGCTCCTACATTTTTGATTTTTGAAAAAAAAATAAAAATCGTTTTCGTCTCCGATACCTACGAAAACGAAACAGTCTCCGATATTGTCTCTTATATGTTACTAGTATTATGCCCGGTGCTATGCACCGAAAAATATCATTTAATTGCGTTTCTTTATTTAAAAAGTACCTACAGTGAAATATACAAAATCTATAGTAACGAACTATATTGACCCAAAAACAATTTATCAAGTACAAAACATTTTGACCAAAACTATCCAAAACTGCTCTTTGATTCAATCTTTATTTTGTCATATACATTGGTATAAGGTCGAAATGATTAATTTTGAATTTAGCAAACATATTGGTTTTGCACTTGTTGTACAGATATTCAATGGTATCCCGAGTGTTTTATCCTAATGAAAACCAATAGCCATTGCAGTATGTGGTATTTGTTCTTCTTGATTTTTTTTTGGTGTGTCAAACAATAATGACACGTAAAATTTGGATTTGGATGAGATAACTTTTAGTAAATATAATACAAATCATCATAGTACAGGGCCATCTGCATATAAACATGTGACAGATTTATTCTTGATGGTAAAATAAGATAATAATTTCGGACAAAACATATCGAAAATTGCTTATATGAGGAAAAACTTCACACGAAGTCAAAAGCAAACAAAACATGCGCAAAACCGCTTGAGAAAATTGACGATTTTGTGATCTTTTCTTTCCGCTTGCCTTCCTCATCAATGATAATGATCTCCCTCTAAATCTAATCAAAATAACAATTAACGATGCTTTATTTTTATATCGAGTTTAAAATAAAACAGATAAACACGAAGAATTAAAATTCGTTTAAGTACCTTATCATCCACAAGCATTAGATCAAGTCTATTTCCAGATTTGTCATTGTTTTGAAATCACCGAAAACTGGGAAACTCGAGCTTTAATCTTCAAAACTTCATTTCTCAAACGGGCTTTAAATGAGGGATTGGTACCTGAAACAATCACAGTAGTATCTGAAACTCAAACTACAAAGTAGTCCCAATTACATTATTCCAACTGAAATAAAATATAAGAATTCAATTGAAGGAAATCAAAGTAAAACCTCTCCTTGTCGTTCAAGTGAAAAAAGGCCAGGAACTAAAATCCCATAACCTAAAATCTCTCTCTTCAATCAATTGAAAAAGTAAGGTAATTCATTTGTCTTCTTAACCAGAAAAAAAAAGGAATCAGAAATATTTGAGTTACCTGAGAATGAGAGACTGAGGGAAAGGGAAAAGCTTGAGTCTCCATTGATACATTTGTGATTAAATCTGCACAAAAAAATTTCGAAAGCAGTGATCAATTTAATGAATTAAAAGGAGAAAGAAATTCCAGATTCAATGATAATTAAAAACAAAATCGTATAAAAATTTGATGAGATTAGAGAGAAGACATAGATATCATGATCTCAGAAGAAGAGATTTAGTTGGTTACCTAATTGAGAAGCTGAGATCGATATATATGATTGTGAGATTTAGATGTGGTGAAAGAGGAATTTGAATTTGGGGATCGTGGATCGTGGGGAGTTTGAGAAGAGAAAATGTTCGTGGGTTTGAAATAAAAAGTGAGATAAATAAGAAAATTCAAAAATAATCATTTTCGTGAAAAAAAAAAATAACTAATTAGAAAATTGAATGGACACGTGTCATTCCTATAAGTTATGAGGTGACTTGTGCTTTATTAGTATTAGATAGTCTAGGATGGTTTACAGGCCTTTTAACAAAATAAAAATGGTTTACAGATTTGAAAAGAAAAAGAAAAAAACAATAACTTTAAACATTTCTTGTTAAAGTAACCAACTAAATTGAAAGTATATTCTTTCTTCTTGTTATATTCTAATATCAGAATGAGAGTAGTTTAGTCATTCGATTAAAAAAGCTCGATAAAAATGAAGTTATTAAGCTCTTTGTGCCTGCGTACGGATGCCAACTTCATTAGTTTATACAATTACATGTGTTTTTTTAAACTCTTTTATTGCTTTCAATTGTTAGCTCAAACCCATTTAAGTTGGGGAAAGTAAAAAAGCAACAACTCCTCTTCCCGAACCCCCAACAAATCAACTAAACTCAATATTAAACAATTAAAAGAAAGCTCATCATTAAATTAGCTACTAATTATTCCTAATCAATCACTGCTTAATACAAGCACTATATAAACACTTGTTCATCTCCCAATAATTTCCAACCACAAGTACAAAACATTTCAATACACAAACACACACACACACACGCACACTTCTTCTTTCCTTCAACCCCAATCGCAAGAGAAAATGGCGAAAGATTCCACCACCATTGATGTAGGCGAGCCAAGCACTGTGAACAAAAGTACAAGCCATGTTGAAGTGGGTGGGAAGATTAAGAAGAAGAGCTTCGTGGCCGCAGCCACCACGGGAGGAAGCAAGAGAGGTTTGGCCATATTCGATTTCCTCCTCCGTTTGGCGGCCATAGCAGCCACACTCGCAGCTTCCATTGTCATGTTCACCGCCGAGGAAACTCTTCCCTTCTTTACTCAGTTCTTGCAGTTCCAAGCCGGTTACGACGACCTTCCCACATTTCAGTAAGTCAAGTTTCATTTTCTTGATATTTTATTACTAATTAACATCATGTTTACAAGATTATTGCTGATAGTGTGTCTCTCTCCGGTTAAAAAAATAAAAAAATTCTTTATTATATATAGTTAACTTGAATTGAAATCATTGAAACTGTGGTTCGTGTCTTAGTGACTTAATTAAATCGTTTTTTGAAGGTTCTTTGTGATCGCCATAGCCATTGTCGCCGGCTATCTCGTCCTCTCACTTCCTATCTCCATCGTAACGATTGTCCGTCCACACGCCGTCGCTCCACGACTGATCCTCCTCATACTCGATACCGTACACTTCCCTAAAAACTCTCTCTATTCCCCATTTTCTTTTAAACTTCATAAAAATCTCATTCTCTTTTATGTTATTTGTGATATGTAAAGGTGGTCGTGACGCTTCTCACAGCAGCAGCAGCTTCTTCAGCAGCAATAGTATACCTTGCACACAATGGCAACCAAAGCACCAATTGGCTCCCAATCTGCCAGCAGTTTGGAGATTTCTGCCAGACCGTGAGCAGCGCGGTTGTAGCCGCTTCTATCGCCATTGTCTTCTTCCTCATCCTCATCATCATCTCCGCCATCGCCCTCAAAAGGCATTGATCATTTTCATCTTTTTTCTTTACATGTCAAGATCGTGAACGGACCTAGAGTATCTTCTTCTACTTGTGTTGTGTGGCTTGTGCTTTTGTGTAACATGTCAAGATTTGTTGTATATGGTGTGGAAAATGTAATTGAACTATTGAAGTTGTTTATGTTTTACTTTTAAAGAAACTATAATTTGTCAAGCTTCTCATTCATTTATAGACTAAAAGTCAATGAGACCAAAGCCTTTGGTCAACAAAAAAGTCAACGAGACCAAAGACAAAACCCAACAAACGACCCAAAGCCTAAAATCCCAAAAGCGACGGTTAAAATGTCAAATACCAAATCTGTCTTCATCTTCTTCTCTTTCCTTTCTCTCTTCTTGTCCATAAACTCATGGTGTCTCTTCTTTGATTCTGTTTCTCTTCTTCTTCCATTTCCTCTTTTACCCTCGATCACACTTCTCAAAATGACCAAACTGTCCTTCCCGTTCAAATGCGTTCCCTCCATCTTCTCTACCTTGAGGCTCACATCCTTCACGTGCATCTCCTCCTCTCCGCACGTGACCACCGTGATCCCACACTCAACCGTCTCGTCCGGCGAGGTGGATTCCACCACCGTCGCGAATTTCGCCTCGATTTCTCCGCTTATCCAGTTCCGCTGCACCAACACCGGCCGGTGACTCGACAGATTCGCCGCTCGTTTCCCGATCGGGTCGATCACGATCCAGCTCAAAGTCAGATGCTGCTCTAGATCACGACACGTGTCTTCCGTCCATCGTCCTCGTTTGATCGGCGTCTCCACCGTGTCCTTCGTATCTACCATGTCGATCCTCAGAGGCGAGCTCTGAAACCAGGTCGTCGTAGTCTCCGTCTTCGCGACTCTACTGAGAACCAGTTTCCCTCTGTAGTGAATATCCACGGCGGAGATCAACTCGGGGAACGGACGGTCGAGATCAGAAACTGACGCGGCGGTGTCGAGCACAGAATACACGTCGGAGAAAAAAGAGCGGGAAGCGTCGGGGATGGTGCGGCTTACGGAAGGCCACGTGGAGCGGCAGATATTGGACCAGAGGATGTCATTTGAAACGAGCTCGTGAAGGTGTGCGGAGGCGCAAGAGACGGAAACTAGGGTTGGGCCGTCGAGACGTGTCAGGATGTGAGCTTCTATGATGTCGTGATGTACGGTGGAGATTAAATCCGTTACAGTGGATGAGGAAGAGGACGCCATGTTCTCTGCCGGATGTTGACTGATTATTACTACTAATTGCGAGACTGATATATTTGATTATCTAGTTAATGATTTGGATTACTGAATGAAGGGGATTATATAAGAGCATCAAAGTCTTTGGTCGACCAAAATTACTACAATAATACGACTTACGAAACCGGGGCAACTTGATGTTTTTGTTCAAACGTCATTTATTTAGTATAATAAATAGATAACTGACCCCCATAAACATTACATTAGGACGACAAAATGGTTTGAGGAAATTAATAATATTGTCTCTTGTGAGTTGTGACATTTCTTTTGGTATTTATAGAGATTAAGAATTAAATTGAAAAGTATTAATTACTGCTATCTCGTAGTCGTATTATTGAATTTTTTATATGTCTGCGTGTTACTAACCGAACCTTAAATGTAAGTTAACATATGAAATATATCAGAATCAATTGGTTCTAGTGGAATAAAAAATAATCATTTAATTTACCAAAGTTTTTTTGTTTTTTTGGTAAAGAGTGAAGATTAATTTACCAAAGTTTAATTAATATAACTGTATAAACAGGAGAGACTGGAACAATGAGACATTATTTATAGTTTAATATAACTTCAGAAACAACGAAGAATATTGGACAAGCAAATAACATTAGATTAAAATATCACCGTCGATGTTAAATAAAATAATAGAGTAGTATGTAACTACCAAATAGAAAAGGCTGATTGAGAAAAGGAGAGGCCAACAATGATGTACATCAGCATGATTGAACAATTTTAAATATATACTTTGGACGGCTAAATATATACTACTAAAACATTTTTTTGGTGTCTGGATGATATCTAAAATTCCGAGAGAATTACAAAGATATGAACCTAATCTGAAGCCCCAAAAAAACTCCAAACAACAGGTTGGATAACGAAGTCCACTTCTCCAATTTCCAAAATAAGACAGCAATAAGAGCAACTTGAAAGCCAAAGGATGGCCAAGCTTGAGGCCGATACGCAGCACTAACAATACTTTTTTTTTTAACACTGGATTGACTAATCTATTACACAAATATGAGAACTGTTACAAGACAATTCTACAACGGACGATTCTACCATCTTCAAAGGCTCCCCGGCCGACGGTTCCATGTGCACCATTCTGTAGACCTCCTGCAAGCTTGTCTCCAATAATCTGCATAAATTATTAGTAAATCGCATCCGCCAGGATTCGAAACACAAACCTCCTGGTGTAGAAGCATTAAATCCCTTCAACCACTAGGCTAAGGGGCTTTCACAAAGATCACCATGTCCTGTTTGTGACTAAGCCTGCTTTCAATAGCCAAGAAAAATATTAAATATATACAACTAATATACATTCAGTATTTCAGTTTATACACTGCTAATTTGACTGTAATAAGTTTATGAGTTTGGACTGTATGGTAATTAGATATTTAGATATCATTTGTGAAACCACATTAGAATTTTGAGCGACAATAGTTTTTATATTTTTTATTTTAAATACAGAGACATGAATTTGGTTTAGTCTATCATTGGAGATATTTAGACAATAATTTTGTTGTCTGGAGGTCTGGAGGTCTGGAAAGAGGGCATACTTTGGTAGACATCTGATGTTATATCATAGTTTCCATGGGGAAATAGATCATTTTACCTTAAATTTCTGACAATACTTTGGTTTAGTTACTTCGGTTGGTATTGATTTCAGGATAACAATCGTAATACAATTGTAATTTTTTTTTTGTCAACACAACTGTAACTTTCAAATTTTGTTTTAAACAATAAAAACCTTCCATAACGTAACACATTTTATATTCAGCGAGCATGCAGCTAATTTTTTAGAGCTTTAGATTTTTTTTTTTTAACTATTATTGACGTCCTTACATTTAAAATAAGTGAAAACCATAAATAATTTTTTCAATTTGAGTTTATAACTAACAATATTATCGGAGTTTCATTCGTGAGATATTAAAATAAGCCGACGACATTATTGTATGTGTATCAGAGTTGTTTATTTGTTTCCGGTTCCTACTCTCAACCTAATTTTCCTTTTTGACAGACTATATCCACTGCATATGTGTACAGTTACAGTTTGAATTATATTTCTTATATAGTCAAGCACTGATGTTATACTAAATTAAAGATATATCATGTAAAACATAACGTCACATTTTATCGTTACTTTTGGGAGCTTAATTATTTTTTCTCTTTACTCTATTTTATTTGATAATTTTTATTCTCGTGATATTTTCTTAGCCGTGAAAAAATATAAAGAAGTGAGCAGAAATGTAATCTAATTCGGTTTGGTATATTGATAAAGTATTTCTTTTCTTTTTTTCCCTATTTGGTTAGACTTTCGATTAGGAACTTTACTTTTTTTTGTTGGTTCGCCAATTTCATTGTATTACCATGATTAACATGACATCTCACGAAAAGAAAATGTAAACTCATAAGGAATATTGGGGGTTATTGGTATTGGTTGTATGATTTTAACTGATTTGAAAACACCAACCAAATCCACTGTTATTGGTTTTATAATTTTAATCCATATTCAAATCATGTGTTATTGGTTCCATTGTTTTTTTAAACATATTCAAATCATGTGTTATTGGTAATATGATTTTTAAACCATTAATTTGATTCCGAAATGGATTTGGAAGGATTTTCATGTAACAAAGTACAAAGAGTCAACTTCGAAGTTAAACCTATAGATTACAAATATTAATGAAAAACTAGGTTTGAAGCCCCGCGCAAGCGCGGGGTTGTTTACGATAGTTTTTCTGTTTAATTTTATTTATACTCGTGATTTGAAATATGATGGTTTTGTGTTAACTTTCATGTTTTTGTTATGTTTTGAGTTAACTAAACCACTAACACTAAAAAATATGAATAATTTGTTTTTATTTTAATTTATTAGGATATTAACACTCTGCTTTATCTTGAGTTTTCTATTTCTAAAATTTTATCATGTTATAAGTATTATGTTTACTTCTATTAGACGGTAAACATGTATATGTATTTGATTGAAGGTTAAAATTTATAAATATGTATATGCATTTGACTGAAGGTTAAAATTTGTAAACATATTCTTGTTTTTCACTACAATTAAATTTACATATAAAACTCTATTTCTATTTGTTTAGAAAAACAAACTCTAACTCTAATGTTTCATTAGCTTTCTATTGTCTTAATTAATTTATATTCAACTTTTTAACTTGTAAACACATTCTAACATTTTTAAGTAGGATAAACCCTTTGAATAATAAAGTAAATATATACTATTTGAAGTTGAATATTTCTTTACTCCATCTCTATTTTATATTCCAACTTTTTGATAACTTTGAACATCAAATTATCACATACTTTCTATTAATTAATATTATTTATTTGTATATTTTTATTAAATATGAATAAATGTAAAGAAATATGAATAGTCATATATTTATTAAATATTTTAAATACAATTTAATGTTTTTGTGCTGATGTGGACACTCTCAAATGGAGAGAGCAACTCCCTAATTATATATAAGATAATAAATTTTACAGTAATTTATAAATCCTACATAAATTTGTAAATAAAATAAAATGCATAAACCAATAACACCCCAGAAACATTTGAAGGATTAAACACTGTCTTACACAGAAGAAGACATATCCTGTAAAGGGGACGGCAGAGTTTGAAACCAAACCTTTAAAACTCCTACTAACATACGGCTGTAAGAGACAAATCCTATAAGTAGAAAAAAAAAGTATTTAACAATAAATTACATCAAAGAGTAATAATTTTTGAATGGCACCAGATGTAAAGGTAAAAACATTATGATAAGTAAATTAAAATTTGAACGTGTTCTTCCAGTTCCTGTCTGAATGTCTTATCATAATGTTTCCATGTTGCTTTATTTTCAAAAATGTTTACATGTTAAAAAAAAAATGTTTCCATGTTGCTTTATTTTCTAGACATTTCCATAAGGACTAGGACTATATACAAGCAGGCCCAAGGTTGGGTCCATCAAGATCGTATAGTCTAAAAGTCTCACTCAATCGCTAAATTGTAGTTGTAATGTGTGTATGTTGATTTTGGGAACATCAATAATATTGTCCATAATATAACATTTAGCGAGACTCCTTATTAGGTTTATATACACATTAATGTTGACTAATAAGTTAATTACACACTTAAGTACATCATTTGTTTATGACATCTCTTTTGTGTCAGTACTCATACATTATTCTTGCCATAATTCTCTGTATTTAAAAGCAATCTTGTACTCAATCACATCTAAGTGCAACGAACTTGCACATATGATCTGATCATCGCTCTTCTTAAAACGATTGTTTTTAGTATTAAGCCAGGTGTGTCAGATACCTACTAAATCAAACTTGGATTCTCTTGTCTATTTTCAACTATCACATTAATTTCATAATCAAAAGTCTACGAATATCGTACACAAACGTACATGCACACATACTTAGACGTAGGTTGTACGTAGTGGCACGTGGGTATACTACTCTGGCTACTTCTATCACTATGTGTTTTTTTGTCACTATATGTTTTATTTTGATGTTTTTATAAATTTAGTTAATTATATTTTGTATATTACTAAGATTAATCTAAATTTACTTTGTTCCTTACGAGCCAAAATGCAAAATACTAATTTACTATTAATTTGGTCAGAGGAGCTACTTTTTTGGCTGCTACCAGCCTACCACATTCGAAACGTAGTGACAAGAGTATTGGTTAATTATGAACGAAGGGTAGCATATTTCGTTCGTTTATTTTTCTTCGAGATTTCATCAGTTTACATAGTAAGTTACAATCATGATAAAGAAAAAATATTATATTTTCTGTCTCTTCAAATGATAAAGAAAATACTTCGGGAATTTTTTGTCTAAGAAAAAAAATCAACGAAGTGTTTTTCATTCATTTAAAATGCTAACAAGCCATGAAATTATCAGCCTTGGTTGATATATACCATGCATCACAACTTGCATAGCCAAAAAAGTTAGGTCCA